TATCTATCTATCTATCTATCTATCTATCTATCTATCTATCTATCTATCTATCTCTGGCTGTCTCTCTCTGTCTCTATCTATCTATCCCCAATGTGTGTGTGTGCGCACGCATGAATATTCATATACAAGCCATTTAATTCCATATGTGTGTGTGTGTGTGTATAATTAAATTACATTTAATAGTTTCATAATAACAAATTCAAAATGCTAGAGATTTGAATTACATCAGTGCTTTATCCCATCTCATTTGATACTTGGTACTATGGGTTTATAAGAAGGATTAATATTTCTTATAGGCATTAGGATTTACATTGTTTGGCATGTGGTTTAAAAAAGAGTAATTTATAAATCCATTCAGTGAGTTGAATTCATGGCCATCTTGAAATACAGAACAGGAGTGGATGTCAAATGGGTAGAATTTCATCATGCATGTTGCAAGAAGTTTTCAGGCTTTCTTCTGGTTTCAATAGAGTTGGAACATTTTTTCCTTTTTTGTTTTTTTCTGTATTATTATACTTAAGGTATGCACTACTGCTCTTTACTGATAACCACAGGAAAAAAAGCTACTGAATTGCAATAGTATGATTAGGGAGGTTCTTGGGCATAAAAAAAGGGTATGGAGCAACAAATCATCGAGATATAATTTGTTTATAAAATGCTACCTTTAAGTACAATGAAACATCATATCCTTGTTCTATCATAATGACTGATCCATTTTGAATTCATTGTGGATATGAATATTATAACAAAAGATATAAAGAATCAATTGCCAATCTGATTTTCCAAAAATACTATAGCAGTTGCAATATATATATTTCTTACCTAACATTACAGAAGGGAACAAAATAAAATGACCCAGACATAGTTAAATGGCTAGAAATAAAATATATTGTATAATCATTGAAATATTTCCCAATATTACTAATTTTTCCTGAATGTATAACTTTTGTATTTATAATATTATAAACCATTTACTAAATATCTGTTCATGATTAATATGCATGGCTATGATAATGAAAGAATAATCATACTATATTATAGCATGCGGTCAGTTTTCATTTTTTGGCTTAACATTCTAGTTATAATGGAGAATGGGATCTGGCTCGTAAAGCAATGGATGATGTTTTATACAGAGCACAATTGGAGTTATATCCAGAACCACTATTGGTAGGTGTTATGTGTCAAATTTATTCTTCTTCAGGTTTTAAAATTTATTTTGAATATTTTTGTATATTTAACTTACATAATTAAAGTATCTTACAGAAACATAAAATGTTTCAGTCATCATCATCATCATCATCATCTCATCATCATCAAATTTTTATTCAGTCACAGACCAGCTAAAATGCTTAAAATAATTTAAAACAAAGCAGTCTCTGAAAATCATATTCTCATAGACTGTGCAGCAGTTATAGCATTCTATAACAAGAAACAAAAACTAACAAAAACAGTTTTGAAGGTTGAATAATTTTTGTAATAAAGTATTTATGTAGTGAAAAATACAAGAACTAAATTGATGTCCTAAGATTGTGGAGTTTTATAATAGACTACCAGATTATCTGTTTCTTGGTTTGCATTATCACTATCAGAAAATCTAATGCACCACAATGTGTAAAGTACTTTTCCTAAAGATTTCAGTGGACAGGCTCTTTGTGTAGGAGCTTCCACTAATTTAGTAATCCTGATTGTGTGCTGTACGGCAAGGGTCCCCAACCCCCAGGCAATGAACTGGTATCAATCCATGGCCTGTTAGAAACCAAGCTGCACAATTGGAGTTGAGCAGTGGACAAATGAGCAAAGCTTCATCTGTATTTTCAATTGTTCCCCAGTGCTAGCATCACCACCTCACCTCTACCTCAGATCATCAGGCATTAGATTCTCATACGAATGCTAACCCTACTGTAAACTACGCATGTGAATGATCTAGGTTGCGTGTGCTTCCTCTTCACCCCCCCCCCCCGGTCCATGGAAAAATTGTCTTCCATGAAACTAGTCCTTGGTGCCAAAAAGGTTGGGGACTGCTGCTGTAGGACACCTTAAGGCAATACTCTCCATTTTAAAATTGGTCTTGAATTGACTGGAAGGTAACATTGAAAGTTTAGTATCCTGATTCTGTGCTGTACAGGTAGTCTTTTACTTAAGAGCAGTCACTTAGTGATTGTTCATAATTACAACAGACTTCCTCAGGGCCACTTACAACCTGGTTTTGAAATTCTGATGGCTGCCCCTCTCCCATGGTCACATGATTATATTTTCATTAATAAAATTGTTTCTATGGTTTGAAAATTTACTTCATTGCATTGAAAATTGATTAGATCATTCTGTTGACAAGTTAAATAGCAAAGGAAGTTTCTAAATGCCAGGGCACTGTTGGTAGGAATTGTTTTCATATAATTTCTCCAAAGAATGAAATAAAAATTTGTTAGATTACAAAACTAGTAAACTCTTTCAGTTTTTTAAGGATCAGATATCCTATTCATAAAACCCCCTTCTCCGATATTCAATCATGCCTTAGTACAGAGGTGGCAAAACATCCACATAGATCCTGCTGAGCATTTTTTGAAGATTCACTTCTGACTGTCCAGTCTTAGTTTCTAAGATATAAAAGTTAACATTTATTTTATTTAGATTTAAAAATTCTATCTTTATTATTTTTATTAAAAACTCAAGATGGCAATACTCTTTCCTTCTACTATTTTGTCCATAACACCCTTGTGAGGTGGATTGGGCTGAAAGAGTGTCACCTACCTTTTCATTTTCAAATTGGGACTAGAATTCATAGTCTCTTGGTTTCTAGTGTAGTGTGCCTTAACAATTAGACCAAACTGGCTCTCAATTAGAGCAATAGAATTCTCAATATAGCACCTTAGGCCTGGTAAGATGCCAGGAAGTAACTATCAGAGTTATTTAAGAAAAATATGAGATGTAAGTTCCATTTTTGGCTTCTGTCTTCATAGACATTGGTAAGATGTTGTAATACCCAATGATTGGGGTTTGAGTGTTATAATTCCTCTTTATGACAAAGGTACAAGAAGTAAGATTGACAGTTATAGTCCAATCAATATGTTGAGCAATACTTGCAAACTCTATGCCAGGCACTCTGATTGGAACTTTCAGAGTGAATAAAAATGAGTCAGTTTTAGGTGAAGAGCAAATTGTGTATAGAGTGTTCCACAATACATTATCAAGATTGTGAAAAAACCTAAAAAACGAATAGGAACTTAGTGTTGGCAGCATCTTCCCTTTGTGATGCATTCTTGGATTTTAGAAATGCTGTTGACTCTATAGCTACCGTATTTTTCGGAGTATAAAACGCATCTACCTTTTTTGGTGAGGAAAAGAAGAAAAAGAAATCTCTCTCTGCCTCGGCCTCTGAGCAATTTTGCCTCGTTGGAGCAAACAGCAAACAGCCTGCTTTACTTTCATTTTCATTTTCAGCATAGCTTGATTAGCACAAGGGGAAAAAAATCTGCTCCAGCAATTTACCTCTTTGCAGCAAGCAGCAGAGCCCTGCGCAAACCAGCTGACAGCAAATCAGTTGAGAGTTGGGAGGCCAATCTAATCAACTTGTGCTAATTAGACTGTGCTGAAGCTGAAAGGAGCTGTTTTTTCTTGCTGTTTGCTTGCAAAGAGGTAACTGCTGCAAGGCAGAGGCCAAAGGGTGGGGCCAGTGGGTGGGCAGGGCTACATTAAGTGTATAAGAGGCACCTAAATTTTCACCCCCTTTTAGGGGGGAAAAGGTGCGTCTTATACTCTGAAAGATACAGTAATTCTCAATTCAGAGCTACAATTGAGCCCAACATTTCTGTTACTAAACAAGGCAGTGTTTAAATATTTTCCCCTCCATTTTATGACCTTTTTTGCCACAATTGTTAAGCAAATCATTGTAGTTATTAAGTGAATCATGCAATCTTAAAGCGAACTTGGCATCCCCCATCGACTTCGCTTTCTAGAAGTTGGTTGAAAAAGTTACAAATGGTGTTCACATAATCCCAGGACAATGCAACTGTCATAAATATTTGCCAGTTTCCAAATTGTAAGTGTGAGAAGTAGTCATAAGTAATTTTTTTCAGTGCTGTTGTAACTTTGAACAGTTACTAAATTAATAGTTCTAAGGTTGAAGACTACTGGTATCTCCAGAGACAAATTTGGGGCAAACAGGTATTCTAACATTGATAAATGGTTTTCTCATTTATCAATACATTCCACAGTAGCACCTATGTAAGATTTAGATGTAATCTGAATGGGACAGATTACAATGCCTATGCAAAAGTTTGTAAAACAAGGTTATATTTTAGCATTTTACTTTTCAGTCTTGCTTTTCAATCTTAACTCAAACTCTACCACTTAAAGTAACTGATTTAAATACTCCAGTATTATTGCATGCAATTGTAGTGTTGCTCTCAATAATGTTTTTTCACCTTAGGAAGGATTTTAGGGCATAAGCCCATCATCTTAGTGAATAACACTTAGAGGTAAATTATCAAAGGCTTGATCATAAATCAAAATTAGCTTTTATATGATACAGCACTGGGCCCTTATTTAATTACAGAGTGCTGAAATCTAGATTTCTCAGAGCAATTTGAAATTTCTGAAATATGTGCATCAAAAAAACCTTCATGATTAGAATCTTGAAAGCTGAAAGCAAGCCTGGCTTACATTTAGCAAGTATTGGCCAAAAATGATTTTGTCTGGGTTAATCTAATTTTCTAACCAAAGTTCTGCATTTTGTGGCCTTTCCTGATGCTACAAGTAAGCATCAATCAATATCTGTCAGGCAATAATGTGAGGATAATGGTTTTCAGCAAGATGTTGCATTCTTATGTGATGGATTCTGAGATTAAGTCATTTGCATAGAAGAAACCTATTTTGTATCTTCTGTTTGACATTATATAAACAAAGGACAGTATGTATGAAAGCACATTTTGATATATTATAGTTCTTCAGGCAGATACAGGCATATTCAACACAGTGCTTTGGCTCACGAAAATGGTTTCCATGTATTTTTATATTGCAATTTTTATATAGTTTAAGTGCATCATTCCAATTCTATAAAAATTCTTAGGCTATATTTTTATCTGATAGTTGGAGTGTGTTTTCCTCTTTTCATTTTTTTAATTTTCAAGTCCGTTCTAACTCTGCAATTGTCTGGACAAATCCATGCAGTTTTCTTGACAACATTTTCAGAAACAGTTTGCCATTGCCTTCTTCCTAAGACTGAAAGAGCATAACTGATTTAAAGCCACCTGGTGGCTTCACTATGCCTAAGGAAGGACTGGATTCATGCTTTGGAGTGCAATGACTATAAACACAGCAGGTGTCTGCAACTTAAGCCATTTTTCCCAATCTCTTAAAGACAGTTTAGATATTGTTGTCATATCATTGTTTTGCATAGTCCAGACCACATTTTTGTCTTCAAATTAGATACTTTGCACAGTCCTACTATATATACATTTGCAAGAAAAAGTATGTGAACCTCTTGGGATTACGTGGAGTTTTACATGAATTGGTCATAAAATGTGCTCTGCACTTCATCTAGGTCACAACAATAGAAAAACACAGTCTGCTTAAAATAATACTACACAAACATTAGATGTTGCCATGGTTTAATTGAACATAACATGTAAACATTCACAGTGCAGGGAGGGAAAATGTATGTGAACCTTTGGACTTAATAACTGGTTGACCCTCCTTTGGCTGCAATAACCTCAACCAAATGTTTCCTGTAGTTGCAGATCAGACCTGCACAACGATCTGGAGTAATTTTGGACCACTCCTCTTCACAAAACTGTTTCAGTGTAGCAATATTCTTGGGATGTCCGGTGTGAATCGCTCTCTTAAGATCATGCCACAGCATTTCAATCGGGTTGAGGTCAGGACTCTGACTGGGCCACTCCAGAAGGCATATTCTGTGCTGTTGAAGCCATTTTTTTGTTAAATTTCTTGTATGCTTTGGGTCATTGTCCTGTTGCATCACCCATCCTCTGCAGAGCTTCAGTTGGCAGACAGATGGTCGTACGTTTTCCTGCAAAATGTCTTGATAAACTCTGGAATTATTTTCCCATCAATGACAACAATCCGTCCAGGCCCTGAGGCAGCAAAGCAGCCCCAAACCATGATGCTCCCTCCGCCATGTTTTACAGTGGGGATGAGGTTTTGATGTTGGTGGGCTGTGCCTTTTTTCTCCACACATAGTATTGTGTGTTCTTTCCAAACAACTCAATTTTGGTTTCATCTGTCCATAGTATATTTTGCCAGTAGTGCTGTGGAACATCCAGGTGCTCTTTTGCAAACTTCAAACGTGCTGCAATATTTTTTTTGGACAGGAATGGCTTCCTCCGTGGTGTCCTCCCATGTACTCCATTCTTGTTTAATGTTTTCCTTATTGTAGATGTGTCAACAAAAATGTTAGCATGTGCCAGAGATTTCTGTAGATCTTTAGCTGACACTCTAGGATTCTTCTTTACCTCATGAAGCATTCTGCGCTGTGCTCTTGCAGTCATTTTTACAGGACGACCACGCCTAGGGAGAGTAGCAACAGTGCTAAACTTTCTCCATTTATAGACAGTCTGTCTTACCATGGACACATGAACATCAAGGCTTTTGGAGATACTTTTGTAACCCTTTCCAGCTTCATGCAAGTCAACAATTCTTGATCGTAGGTCTTCTAAGAGCTCTTTTCTGCGAGGTATGGTTCACATCAGACAGTGCTTCTTGAAACCAGTAAACCCAAAACAGGTGTGTGTTTTTAAAGGGCAGGACAGCTGTCAGCAACACATCCAATATCATCACACTGATTGGAGTCAAGGTTGGCTCACTCCTGGCTCCAATTAGCTCTTGGAGAAATCATTAGGCGAGGGGCTCACATACTTTTTCCTCTGTGCACTGTGAATGTTTACATGTTATGTTCAATTAAACCATGGCAACATCTAATGTTTGTGTAGTATTATTTTAAGTAGACAGTGTTTTTCTATTGTTGTGACTTAGATGAAGTTCAGAGCACATTTTATGACCAATTCATGCAAAACTCCACGTAATCCCAAGGGGTTCACATACTTTTTCTTGCAACTGTATCTGCAACATTATATTAATCAGAAGTCATAAATATTCCATGCTACAGAGCACAGCAATTTTTAGCAGGATCATTGAGGACTAAGTGGAAGTGTCACTAGTGAGAAAGCAACAATCTGTTTCTACTAGATTGTTCATCAAGTAACTGGCAGAAAAATGTTTTCCTGGAGTGCATGCAGACACATATTTCCATCCTATAGTCCAAAGCACTGCTTTATTATTTTTCTTAATCTGAAAGATTTCAGCTACTGAAAGAATGATTGCACAGAGGAAATAAATTGTCATGAGGGAAAAAATCTATACACTGTTTAGTGGATGGCTTAAAAAAAAAACAAGATGAGGAAATGTAATCATTAATGGGATTTGGCAATAGCTTTTAAAGCAAATGTTTTCTGATTGAAGTCTTTAATCATCTGAATTAAAGTGGTAATTGTGAACAGATGGAAGTCAAATTACTACCTCTTTTGATTTTTGTCATATCTGATGCAATTTTTGATGTATAGTAAATATTGTTTCAATTCAAAATCTGATGTTAATGTGACAATCTCACCCACATTTTATTTAATTACTGTTATTTTCTTTAGGTAGCTAATGCAATAAAAGCTTCATTGCCTCAAGGTGCCATAAAATCTAACAAAGAAGGTACTAAATGTATTCAGGTTGAAATTACTCCTACAGCATCGAGGATATCAAGAAATGCTGTGACCAGCATGTCTATTCGGGGCCATAGATGGAAAAGGCATGGTAAGAACTTTGATTCTGAAAATATTAGTTATACCATAACAAAAAAATTAATATTCCAAAACTGACCTACCATGATTATCTAAAAATTGATATTCTTATTTATACTAATAAGAGACCCCATACATAGTATAAAAGGCCAATTAATTTTTATGTTATTTTATTTCTCTAATATAAAGAGGTTTTATGTCATTCTTTTTTGTTTGCATTAGCATAAGAAACCAGTTCATTATTATTTTACAGTTCATCATACTTTATTTATTGTCAATTAATGTTATACATTATATTAAAATTCTGGTTTAACATATACAGCGCACTTTTGATTTCAAGTATATCATTGTTTCAAAGTAATTATTGACATGATGGATTAATCATGTTATACTTCTTAATTTAACATAAATTCCCTCAATTTTTTTTTTATTGAAAAAGTTTTACAATTACATTTTCTCCCCAATTCCCCCCCCCTAACCCTCCCTAACCCCCCAACCCTCCCTAACCCCCCCTAGCCCTCCCTAACCCCTCCTCCCCCCCGGACTTCCACAGAATATAATCCAAATCAAAAACATATTTTATAAAACTTGAACCCCTCCACCCCCTGTATATTTTTCACATCTTCACAAAATTCAATTATTCTATCTCTATATAATACTTTCAGTTAAAAGCTATCTGATATTTCCTAGTTTGATATTTATTCTGCACATAATCTATCCACTTTTTCCACTCCCATACTTTTAAGTATGCTGAAATCTTCGCCATCTCTGCAAAGCTGGCCATCTTCAAAGTCCATTCATCAATAGTAGGCATAGCTTCATTTTTCCAATATTGACCTATCAGTAATCTCGCTGCTGTTATCATATACAGTATCAACTTTGTTTCACCCAATGTAAAACCCTTAACTATACCCAATAAAAACAATTGTGGAGAAAACTGAATTTTTTTCTTCAAAACATTCTGCATAACCCACCAAATTTTTATCTAAAAAGCCTTCACTTTCTTACAAGTCCACCACACATGATAATATGTGGCATCTAGGCAATCACATCTCCAGCATTTTGGTTGAACATTAGGGTACATGCACTACAATTTCTTAGGATCTAAATGCCATGTATAAAACATTTTATAAAAATTTTCCTTCAAATTCTGCGACTGTGTAAATTTAACATTCTGAACCCATATTTTTTCCCATGTTTCCAACATCACTGGTTCTGCAAAATTTTGTGCCCACTTTATCATGCAATCTTTAACCAATTCAGTTTCTGAATCCCTTTCTAACAAAACATTATAAACCCTTTTAATATGCATTGGACCTTTCTCTTTTATATGTCTAACCAATTCTTCCTCATGCATCATTATACCAGTTTTTTGGTCCTCTTTCCATCTCAATTGAAGTTGATTATACTGTAACCAAGTTAAATTAATCCCTTCCTCCAACAGCGTTTCTAAAGTCTTCAGTTGCCCTCTGCCCGCATCTGCAAAAAGAACTTCTTTATATAAAAACCCCCCGAGTGACATATTTGTATTCCACATGATATGACCAAGATCCAGCCATAACGGTATTTTGTAATCCCATTTGAGTCGGTGCTTCTTCCAAACTCTCATCAAAGAGTCTCTAAGTATGTGGCTTTTGAATACTTTATCCACTTTATTCTCATAAAATATGTAAGCATGCCAACCAAATTCAAGATCAAAACTTTCTATATTCAATATTCCAGTCTTTTTCCTTCCAAACCAATCACTTGCTTGTGTCAAAGCTGCTGCTTCATAATATAATTGTAGGTTTGGAAGTTTAAGGCCTCCCCTTTCTGGAACATCTTGCATAATTTTCAGTTTAACTCTTGGCTTTTTCTCATTCCAGACAAATTTATTCAATCCTCTTTGCCATTCTCTCAGTTGTTTATCACTTTTAAGCACCGGAATCATTTGAAACAAAAAAAGAAAACTTGGCAAAATGTTCATCTTAATTGCTGCTATTCTTCCAAGTAAAGACAGCTGCAGTTTTTTCCAAGTCTCCATATCTTTCTGTACGTCTCGCCACAACACCTCATAATTATTTTGAAACAATTTCATATTTGATTCTGCAACTTGAACTCCTAGATATTTGACCTTTGATACTATCTCAAAACCTGCCTTGCTTTCAAGTTCCTGTTTTCGATCTTGTGTCATATTTTTAACTATCATCTTAGTTTTTTTCTGGTTCAATCTAAATCCTGATACTGTACCATATTGTTCTATAATGTCTTTCATCTGGATTATTGATTCCATCGGCTGTGTTAGGGTAACTACCAGATCATCTGCGAATGCCCTTGTTCTGTAATCCTCTTGCCTTATCACTATTCCTTTCAAAGTGCTCGAGTCCCGTATTATATTCAACAAGACTTCTAATGTTAAAATAAATAACAATGGGGATAACAGACAACCCCGTCTTGTTCCTTTTTCAATATTAAAGTCTGTTGTCAAACTTCCATTAATAATAATCTGTGCCTTTTGTTCTTGATAAATTGCTGAAACCGCCTTTATAAATTGATCCCCAAAGTCCATCTTTTTTAAAGTCTTTAGTAGAAAATTCCAATCCACTCTATCAAAGGCCTTCTCCACATCCAAAAAAACCAGCACTGCAGGGATCTGTTTATTCTTGTCAAGATAAATCTATAACTTGCCTTACATTGTCCTTCACGTATCTGCCTTCTATAAATCCCGCTTGGTCACAATGAATCACCTCTTGAATAACTGGCATCAACCTGTTGGCTAATACTTTTGCAAATATTTTATAGTCATTATTCAGAAGAGATATTGGTCTAAAGTTTTCAGATTTTTTAGGACCTATTTGCTCTTTCGGTATCAATGAAATATAAGCTGTTTTCCATGATGGGGGTATTTTACCCCCTTGTTGTATGCTACAAAATAAGTCTTTAAGATGTTCAATCATTTCTGCTTGTAAGGTTTTATAATACACTGCAGTTAAACCATCCATCCCAGGAGCTTTAGCTGTTTTCAATTGTTTAATTGCAGCAATAATCTCCTCAGCTGTTATAGGATAATTCATTCTCTCCTTTTGTTGACTAGTAATTTTTGTAACTCTTTTATTTTCTAGATATTTCTCTATAAATCCATTCTGTGTATCACCTTTGGCATATAGTTTGGTATAATAATCTACAAAAACTTCCTTAATTAATTTTTGTTGGGAAATTTCCTTCCCTCCAGTATCAATACTATCAATGATCCGTGTACTCTGCTTCTTCCTTAGTGTATAAGCCAACCATCTGCCCGGTTTATTAGCGTTGCAAAATGTATTGTGTTTCGCAAATTGTAAATTTGTTGCTGTTTGTTCCGCTATAAGCATTTGAAATTGATCTTTCAGAAGTTTTATAGCTCCTCGTATTCTTTCATCTGTTGGTTTTTTTATAAGTAACTGTTCTTTATTCTTTATTTCTGCTTCCATTTCAGATCTTTTCTTTTGTCGATTCAATTTGTGTTTAGAGTTCATATGAATGAGTATCCCTCTCATATACGTTTTACTCGCATCCCACACGATTTCAATAGGGGTACCCTTATTCAGATTCATTTCAAAAAATTCCTTCATCTGCTTTTTAAGTTCTATTATATTTTTTTCATATCTAAATAGATTTTCATTTAATCTCCATGATCTTCTCTCACTCTTTCCCATCTCAATTTCTATCCATACCGGGCTATGGTCGGTTAAAGTCCTTGGAAAAATCTTTGTTCTTTTTGTTTTTACAAGTAAATCAGCTGATAGTAAAATAAAATCAATCCTAGAAAAGGATCTATGTCTATCTGGGCTGCTGTTCAGGTTTACGTGTGGGGGATACCCTCCCTGCCGCCTTCCCTTCCTATTTGGCCTGCTTAGAAGCCATCCTGCCACGTAGGCTAGCTTTTCCAAAAAAGGAGATCCTTTTTCCCTTTCCACCACCACAAAGTCCTCTAAAAAATTCCCCCAGGTTTAGTCAGATTAGGGGTGAAATTGAAATTGAAATTGAAGCAAGATCAGGCTTGTTTTTAAAAAAGGATTTTTCCTTTCTTTTCCTCCACTTGTTACAGACAGCGCAACTTTGTAACTAGTTGAAATAACTTTGCTAATCCACTCTCACTTTCAGCTCGTTAACGCTGAAGTCGGGCGCCATTTTCAAGCGACTTTCACACACTCACTCTTCTGCTTTAAACTTAATCACAGGGCTAGTAATACTTGCAGTTTCGAGGTTTCGAGGTTCAAGTTGTTATTCCACCCTGGTTGTTTAAGTTTACTTTGTTTTGAGTAAAAAGGTTGCTCCTGCCACCTTGCTCTGCACTGGGCAGACTCGTCCCACGCTGTCCGGAGTCTCGGCGAGCTGAAAGGGAGCCGCGCCTGTTTCCTCCCCAGAAACAGCTGTCTGGGGGCTCACAGGGGCTCAACCTGCTTCTTGCCCACTCTCTTCCACTAATCCTTTGGATTTGGGAACTTCCGAGCTGCTTCTCTGGATCGAAGCGGCTCTAACAGGCAGCAGGGCTGACGGTCCAAAAACGGGACCGTCTTTCGGCGACAGGAAGCAAACCGGAAGTCCAATTCCCTCAATTTTTTATTACAGGAGTGTTTATAAGTATCCTGTCATTAATGAAAGTTTTATACTGATTATTTCACAGTACTTTTGTTCTTCATGTACTATGTCTTATACATTACAGATATAGCAAACATAGTTGGAACTGCTAAGGTATTTCTATCTTTTGATATACATTCAGCACTAGAGAATGGATTCATAGACCCAATAATGATTTTGTGGCTTTAAGGTTGGATGCAGAATAGTAATAATAAATAAAATTATTAGTTTATTTGAACCACAAAGAAGATATAATTTTCTAAATAAACTACAGAGTGTTCTTTTCCTATATTTTTGATTAGTGATAGGATTAGTTGCTGTTTCTCTTTGCTACCCTGTTAAGAGCTTATAATGGAAATACTGATCTATTGCTTAAACTCAATAACTAACCTGTAGTTTTGTTTTTGTATAGCTAATGTAGTTTCCAATATTTTATATAAGTATAAATATATTGGTAGTCCAGAAAGGATACATATCTTGCACTTTTCAGACACTACTTTTACTACTGTTACCTTTCTGCAGGAGTCATGCTTGATGATACAGGTGCTGAAGTTCAAGAGGCAATGGTTAGGACAAGTGTTTGCTGCAGCAGATAACAAACAATAAGGCAAGAAGCTTGATAGTATTAGTAAAGCAACTGACTGCAATAAAGATGAACAGTTATTCTATTAAGACGAAGGATAATTTGCAAGGTATGCAAGCATTGCTGCAGACCCTTAAGTATCCAAATATATTGGATGCTCTTCCCTTCAGAAAAAGAATTTCATAATGTAACAAAATGAAGAGGAAATAAAGTACCATTTTGGCTCAGTGTGGAGAATTTGGGGGCTATTTTGTAGATCAATTTCCTATAAAATTACCTTGATTTATTACAAATACATTTAAGAGCTTCTACATACTTCTAATTACTTCTGCTGGAAAGGAGCCTGCATCCAACAGTTAGAACTTGGCTTGTTAGGAGAACAAGTCTAGAATGTTAGTTTAAACAAATATTGACTTGTTCAATGTTCTGCTGGCAGAACAATAGTGGGAACAATAGAAAAATGTGTGCCAAGATATTTGTTTGATTATTGTATGACAAAATTTTGAATACCGTTAATTATGTGTAATATGTGAACCACAATATGAATGGAAATGTGGAGACATTTTTTAAAAATGTTGATTGATAATTCAGAAAAAAAAAATTGCTTCAAGATAAACTATAATTCAAAAAATTAGTACTTTCACTTTTAGATTTGCTTTCTATATTTAGTATAATCATTTATTAGTTTGAAAAGGTGTGGCATCTTCTTGGTTTTTCAATATTGCTATCTCAATTTTTGAAGTTGATTAGAACTTGGGTGCTTTGGATTACATATCCATTAAGATCTGGACTAAAAAGACCTGATCACCTATTGCAGCTTAATATGCTATGCAGTTGTGAGATGGAATTATTCATTGAAATGTATCCTTGAGGTCCAGACAAAATACCAAGAAGCATCTTTAAGAAAATCATGTGGCGAAATTACGTTTTGAGAACATGATAGGTTTTTTTTGCTGTTTTCAGAAACATATTTTATGCTCTGTCTTATTCAAAAGTACTGATTTCTACTGATGATTCTTCAGTCAATAGATACATATCTATTTCAGAATTAGAAAGAATACTTGATTTGGTGTTTATTTTTCCTTCTGGATTATAATAGAATAATAGAATCTTTTTCTATTTATAGTACAGCGCCTGAACTTTCACTTTATATTATAAGATAAATTAATGCACATGTTGGTAAGGACAAAATTGAACAGAACTCTTCAATTATCTAAAATTGATGCTTTGCCCTTAAATTGTGGTACTGTAACACAAAGTAAAGTTTGCAAGATGTGAAAATCAGACAAACTGTACTTAGATCTTAAAAGTATAGATTAATGAGAATTTTGTGGTAAACAATGGTAATACGGATTGGAATCATTAATCCCTCTTAAAAATGGTAGGTAATTTATTCTGTATTAATGTTAAAGCAAAGAAACCAAAGAAAATTAAAAGAAAAATTGGAATTTCTTTCTTATTATTTAATTCCAGTGGAATCAGAGAATGAGTGAATGAATGTGTGTATATATGCATCATAGGGAGAAAAACAAGTTAAGTATAAGTATTATCTGTAAATTAGATGCTATAATTAAAAAAAACCAGGTAGATAATATTTTCCTTCTGCTATTTGGCATTCATATGGGTTTTTTAAAATTTTATTTCCATATGCAGCTTCAGCTATCCTGTAAACTATGGCTTATGCAGAATGCATGGATTAGTATATGAACTGTATGTGACCTCACCATTGTTTTAAAGCAATTTTCAATTGTGTGACATAGTTCAGTTATAGAAGAAGAAAAACATCTTTCCTGTATATTTCATAACATTCTGCAAAAAAGAATGGAGTTGAGAATTTGCAACAGAAAACCACAACCCGTTACAGTTAGACTTCAGAGATAGACCAGGCTTTAATAGTGGTTGGAGAGTGCAGGGAGGAAAGAGTGCATAAAAAGGAGAAAGGCACTCTGTCTCAGGAAGATTGGAAAGATGTTTTTACTTTGTTCCTTAAAATATCAGGCATTTGGATTGCCATGGAAGTAATGGAAATTCCATGTAGCCATATTTGACCTATAAGATAAAAACAGTGTTGCTGCGCTTTAGGTTCTATCATTATTACATAGTGCTATCAGGTTCTATCATTATTACATAGTGCTATCTTGTGGAGGATAAGGTCTAGATAGTAACAGCTTTGTTGTTTCTCAAAAGAGCCTTGAAGACCTGACTTTTTCTTCAGATTTTGGGCTAGGCCGCTAGGATAACGTATACTTGCTATATTTATATAAATAAATGAATGATAAGTAACTGGCAGACAAGCAGCCTGATGTGCTATGCACTATAAACTTTATTAAAAATAACATCATTGCTCCCATTTGTGGGCATGGGAGTTCTAGTCAAAATCGCTTAGAAACCTGGTGCAATACAGTATGTTCAAAGCACTTTTTATTTTCCAGTGGGCAGTCTTATTGAAAGGCAACCAGTTACCAAAAGGGGATGTTTATAGAGATATCTGTTCTTATTTAATCAGTTAATTCTAGATTTGTAAACATCTTCTGAAAAGATCTTTTATTCTTTTAATTGAATTCTGTAATATGTTAAATCATTATTTTTCCATTTGATAGTCAGGTGCTTATTTTGTAAAAATGCTTATGATGACTCAATACTTTTCACTTTCCTTTTCCTTTTTCTTTAAAAAGTGGTTTTGACTGTGTTTATATAGCATCTACACACTTTTTAGTTTGGCAGAGCGTTTCATTTTTAAGATTTATGTTCTTGCTACAACTTTCATTTTATTAGAGCTTGCTTTGTCCCAAACTTTGCTTAAACTCACTGCCCCATTTATTCCTCAGCTATTTCACTGAAACCATATTCAACTATCTTTTATACTCTTGGATTGTTTTTACTTTTTTTCCTCTTCCCATATCCTTTTATTGTACATAAGGACTTAGAAATCAATAAATGAAAAGTACATTTAAGTGTTCATACATTTGTTAAGGAGGCACATTTCATTTTGACTGTTCATATACAGAAACAAGACCCTTCTAAAGTAATCTGAATTGAGTTGGAAGTGTGATGCTTTGTGGTCTGAAGCAATGTACAGAGGGCATTTGCGCAAAAAAGAAAGAAAAGCAATGACTCTGTGCCTACTACATTTAATTTTTATTTCATGTAAAACCTTTGAGAAGCAGGAAGGAAAGAGTAATAGAGATGGTTGTATTCTAAGAAAATCTCTTTAGTAGCTCCCTGATCACCCTAGATGTTTCAGTTTTGAATCCCCCCATAGTCCATTGGAGTTGGGTGGCTACTAAATTCAAAGAAAGGAAAGGGAGAGAGGTGTGAACTTGAATCAAATTCTTTTTGTAGTCATCCATTTTGTCTCAAAACAAATTATAGGCTTCATTCTAAATCTCTTTAAAGTAGTGAAAGAGTGCCATTATCCCAAATTCTGTCACTAAAATTAGATAGATTTCATTCCCTCAGTAGTGTCTATAGCTGTATATTTTTCTGTGAAAAAGCTGTAGCTATTTTCCAGGATTTTCCAGGTAGTTAACAGGAAGTATGGAGATTTGATGAACTGGTCTATTTCCTGAATTGCCAAATCAGACCAAATCCAAATATGGTCAGTGCCCATCACTTATTCTGAATATTTCAATTTAGTACATAAATATACAACTGTGAGGTCATTGTAACTAGTCAAATGGGTGCTGAAAGTATCAATCATCAAATACTGCAGAGTAAATGATATGTGAGTTGTAGATCATATATCCAAAATGCAGTCTTAATGAATTAGGGCAATCGTGATAAAGGAATCTTGCTATTTATATTTCTTTTTCAATAGTATAATCTTTCTATAAATCAAACTCAATACTTAGAGATTCATAAAGAAAAATATTTTTAATATGTAATAGGCGTCCAAATGACACATTTACAATATTTTATACATTTTTATTGATATTTGCATTGAAAAGTGTGCTATCATTAATTAAGGTACTATGCAGGTTTTAAAATTCAAGGGTATTAGAAATAACTTTAGAATTCATTGAACAAAAACATAGTATTTTGGAAACTATTGTAACATATTGATTTCATTAAAGCATTCGTTTAATCTGCATTTTATCTTATTTAATTTTATGCATTTATTTGCTATAGAAATAGAAAGGTAGAACAGATGTGTGATATAAAGTATGCAGCATTCACACTTTAGTCTTAATAAAGCCATATTTGTCTTCCTTACTTCCCAGTGTATATACAGGCAATCCACAAAGAAAGTCTGGAAAATAGGAAGATTGACTGCATTGTCTCCTCTCTGCTGTTTGCTACTAGTGATAACAAGATAAATGATATGGACATTGGTCTTTGTGAGGAAGCACCACATTGTGTAATAGAACATAGATGGCAAGAAAGAGCTTTATCATCTGTTGGAATTCAGAAAGATAGAAATCTTTGAATTTTCAAAAAGAATATTTTTTTTTACAATTTGAATCTGAACATTTTAGAAAACTGTCCTAGTGTAATAGTGTAAAAATAATTTGAATATGACAAAATCAGTGGTTTGGTTCTGAGATACTAATATATAGTTAACCAAGTAAAATATCCCTTATACTCTTAGTGGATATATTTAAAAAGTAACTGTAAAGTAAATGTTAGTGTATTTATATATTGTATTTATTTAGTATGTAGCAGGTACTTTTTTTCAGTTGAGCTTGGCTCCAAAGAGTTCATTTTTAATTTTATGATACTGCAATCTATATTCCATCCCATTTTCAGAAACATTATATGGCTTAGTATCTCTAAGACATTATATAAGAACTCCCTTTACTAATGACAGGCCAGAAAATTAAATCTCTGACTTTGAAACCTTCAGACTATTAGGTTTTCTCTCCAATTCATGTCTTTTTGTTTGTCTCCATGGTTTTTGTTTCAGCCATCTTTTTTCTTTCTTTCTTTCTTTTTTGTCTTATTCATTTTTAATTCTAGAGCAACCAGATAATACTAATGACACTACTGAATCGGGCAACTTTATTATACCCGAGATTAGTGTCACAAATGTGGCTGGAGAGAGAACCAGGAATGGGGAAAAAAACAGAATGCCAGGAGAGAGTGATCAACATATTCAGGGTGTACAGGAAATTCCTACAGAGCCTAGAGTTGACAGCAAAAGCTTGCCAGAGATCAGGAGGCAAAAATCTGTAAGAAAAATTATGGAGGATGGAATAAGCTCACCTGGCAGAATGCAATTTTAGCAGAGCACTTTGTAGCTACATTCAAAAGGTATCAATTGAAAGGGTCATGGCTGCATGTTCTGAAGATTTTAGTAATCAACGGTAGACATTTGCATGTATTTTTAGTCAAACACAACTGCATGCTTTACACATAGAGCTGATCTCTGTGCTCCACATATTGATAGCATGCTGACAACAAATAGATTTATCTTAGATTGGGAAACCACACTGGGAGATTTCAAATTTCATTAATGTTCAACTTGGATTTGTCAGTTCTGAGTCATTCAGCATTTTTATTTTACACATTTGAAATAACTCTTTTTTCAAGTGTACATAAACAATAATTTATTTTAATGTTTTCCCATTTGTTACATTGTATGCTCCAGTGTGTTAGGTTTCCAGAATCATCACCAAATTTAACTCTTTAGTACAGAATGTGGCCATTCAGCCCTTTAAATATGAAATACAACTGGATTTGCTAAAAATGTGAGCACCTGCAGTTGATGCCCTATTAGCTAGTCTGCTGTTCTGATTATCTATTTCCATGATTATTTTGCTGTCTGTAGTACGTAGATACCTTGCTCATACATGGGCTTATTCCTTTCTAGCTGTTATAGATCTAACCTATTCTAAATCTTGCATGAATAACAGGTGCTTTAAAAATAATCACACAATGAGATTGTTAAGCATGCTTTCTGTTTATTTATTTTATTGTAATATATTATATTATATTGATATAATAGATGAGCTTCTTGTCTGCTCTTAAATCTTTTGCTTTGTGCTTGAATAGAAAGATCTATCAAGAACCAATGAAATATATACAGTGTTCTGTCTCCATGCAGGTAACGAATTAGGAATTCCAGAAGAAGAATTAATAGAAGTATCTGAAGTTGATGAAGGTTTTTACTCTAGAGCTACTTCTACTACAAGTCACTCTATTTCATCAAAAAGTAGCAGCAACACCAGTAATAAAACAATAATGAGCAAGAGTCAACGAAGGTCTGGAGGAAACAAAACTGGAGGAAAAGAAAAAGATATGAGTGCTGAATCCTACAAAGAAAATTTATCTCACAAACAAAGTCAGAGGGCATTGAGTGAAAATCTAGAGCTTCTCTCTTTAAAAAGGCTGACCCTAACTAGCAGCCAATCCTTGCCAAAATCAGGGAGCCATAGCTTGGCTAGAACTAGCACTACTCTTTTTAGTAAATCCTTTGAGCAGGTCTGTGGTGGTGTGATCCCAAGTAGTCATAACGGCACAGAAACAAATAGGCTTTCAGTGTGCAGTTTGCAAGAAGGGAATCTGATATTTGAAACTGAAAGAATAGACCTTACGGTTCCAAACAAACAATCTAATCAGCAGCGACTACCTACTATCAGCATTACTGTCTCAACAGACCAATAACCTCCTAACTAATGTTGCTGTGTAGAAGAGGGGCCATTCAATGATGGTACCACATGTTAGGATCCCTCAAGCTCTTTTTTTAGTCAACTAAACTGCTTCAAGTTACTTTTGTTTTCCAATAGTAAAACCTAAATTCTTTCAATGATTAAATGTTAAAATGGAACAGCATGGATCATTCAAGTAAATACTTTATAATATTGATGTGGGAAAATTTAGGAATTAATTTGCTCAGCAGGTAAGTTGATTGGAGAATGATTGTGTGATAGGCCTATCAGATGAAATCTTTAGTATTACTGTGCTATTTCTGGGTGCTGAACTTTATTTCAGTCATTATTAGATGTGGCTGAGAATTGGTATGCCAGTTCCATACTTAAAAGCAAGAACCTTCTTTCTTAGGCACCCTGATACAGGTCAGTTTAAGTAGCAGCTGATAATTGAAAAACAATATTCAGATCTGTGTACACAATCTGTTATTAAAAAAAAAAATAACGTCATTATTGTGCCAATACTGAACAATGTGTGTTCAAGCCACTATTTTCAAATCTAACTATGAAAATAGCTACAGTATAGCTATCCAGTATATGCAATATATCATTTTTGCCCTAAGCAATGAATATTTTACAGCATGTACTGTACATATATTATTATTTTCTAATATTATTAACAGATTTTTTTTTTACCTTTCCCATCATCCCAGATCTATACAATTAATATTTTGTGCTGGTCTATCTTGATATGATTGATCCAGCTGCCAAAAGTATATTGGCTGTCACATTTAAACTATGACTAAAATGGATGCAATTCATTGTATTACTTTATATGTACAGGCAGTAGTGGTGTAAAACTGTTTTTGGCTTAGAAGATGGGTGTCAAACTTGTGATGTCATGTTGTCATCACATGATTTGCCTCCCCTTCGCTAAACCGGAGGTGGGTGTGCTAGTGTAGTCACATCTGGCCCATGGGCCGCAAATTTGACACCCCTGGCTTAGAATATACAGTAGGTCTTGGCATAGTGCACAAAGAGATCAATTGAAAGAGGAGAAAGTTATTCATCTTCATCTGGAACGGGCTACAGTTCTACTTTTATAATGCCAGTGAATTCAAAATGATTAGGGTGACACTTACTTTTTGGCGTTAAGAGTCTGTAAACCAACACAAGAAACAATAGTACAATATTTTCTTCTGAAATTGAACAGAGATATTAATCTAAAATATTTTAGCATTTTTAAATGGAAAAGTAGTGTGAATTATTTTTGATTTTACTCCTTACTTTCATCAAACTGGTTTTAAAATTGCATCACATTTAAATCAGTGGTGAAATCCCCCTGGTTCTATCCGGCTTGCCAAACTGGTAGTGCCAGTGGTGGGAGGCTCCACCCACCTGCTGGGATGTCATTACTCCTCCTTTTTTACCATCTACACATGCGCAGAAGGTTCTGCACATACGCAGAAGAGGTATGCGCGTGCTCCTGCCCGTTCCCAAACCAGTAGCAAAGGTAAGTGGATTTCACCGCTTATTTAAATCATAAGCTTTACACTATATGAGAAATAGGTCATGACGATTAACAGATGATACAATATTTTGGAAGGAAAAGACTTTGTTTTAACTTCTTAAAATACAACCTGGCATTTTTATTTTTGCATAGCCATATTGATAATTTCACCAAATTTGAACCCTCCTTCCCCTCTGGTTTCAGCTAATTAATTAGTTTATAACAACTTCTGGGGGATTAAAAAGTGTATATGAACATTGGCATCACATTCTAGTGCTTTCTACATGTTCATGAATCTTTGAATCCTTCTGCAAGAGTAACACTGGTTATTTTTATTCCTTCCACCCACTGCTTTTTGCAGTGTTGCTTTTCAACCAAAACACTTTCTAACAAAATATTTTATACTTCTGTTTTTAAGCAAGAAGCAGCTTGATAGACTGTTTTTATATTAACTGTACCATGTAGTTAGAAATTCTATTTGTATTCAAAGAGAGACTTCAAATTTCCAGAGACCCAATTTTTTAATAAGTAGTAGCTTTTTTTTCCCAATTGTTTGTATTTGACATTTTTGGAAACTCCATTTTCTGAAATATCTGAAATTTAAAATGGACAAAACCTAACTAATTTTATGAAATCTCTGGGATGTTTATTATAACAGTATTAATTCATCCTTACACAATTTTCTACATATTTTATGGTTTACTAGCATTGTATTAAATATTGATTTTGAATAATTAGTTTCTGTGCAGGATTATACAGCCATTGTAAATGAAAGCTATTTGAATTTATAGTTCATTATTTAAAATTCCAAAAGATGGAAGTAAAATATTTATAGTACTAAAGTTTTAGGACTCTAGAAAACATTTTTGTTTGAGTAAAAACAACTTTTTTTATACATTCAAATAATTTAGAATTTCCCCAAGATGATGGAATAAAAAATGTATGAAGTTAAGTTGCTCAAATGTTTTTGAACAAGCATATGTGCAGCTATCTATTCTACATGGTAATGATTCATATATAAATGTATTGTGCATATGCATAGTTATTTACATTTATGCATAATCAAAATTGAAAGAGTGAAAACCCAGAAAATATGAAATTCATATGCACAGTAGATTGATAGTAATAAAATGTTTCTCATAACTTTGGAAAAGCACAATGTATTAAAATATTTTAGCAGAATATTAATGAGGTATTCATATTTTGATTGAGTGCAATATATGAATAATTTTTTGTGATTGACATTCTTGGTTTTCATGTTAAACTGAAAATGAAGTAGACTTTTCTGTGGTACAGTAACTGTAGACTTTTGTAAAGATCCCTTTCTATTTATTGAATATATAAATTAGTTCTGTGAATTTTTCAACAATTTGCCATTTACAAGGATGAATACCACTTAATAAACTATTAACAGTATAAAACAACAAAATGTGCTATCCACTTTTACAGTATACACTTGACTATATCCTGTTTTAATAACACTTAATGTTTTCTGTATTTTAATAAATGAACTGTTTAGTTGAAGTTTGTATTTCCATGATAAAGCTATCATCTTTAACATTGATTTACTTAGTTTGTAAATATTGTTTTTAGTTACTGAGTTTACATTGATGATGAAATGATGATGATGAAGTACCTGTAACATTGGATTTGAGCAGTATTGGAATTGCAAATGGTGAGAAACTAACCCACTTACTCATGATCCCAATAAAAACCAGTCCTCTGTTTTTGATTGCTTATTTTATCCATGGTTTATAGTTTATTGTTTATTTTATTCCTATCCCTCTTCAGGTGCCAGAACAAAGTAATAACTAAAAAGTAAAAACTAAACTATAATCAACAATAAACTAACCCTATTTTTAAATATTAGATACAAAAAATCAAAAGCTCATTAAAGAAACAGAAACAAGAAATAGGCAAATTGAAATAGTTATTCCATAAATCCTTGGTTAGGAGACAGCATCAAAAGCTCAATATCAATAATCTATTTAATTATGTATGTGTGTGTGTTTAAGAATAGGTGGTGGAATGATACTTAAATATAAACTTAATGTAAGAACTGTCCCAGAATTCAGAAGACGGTATTATATCTGGGATGGAATGAAAGACAACATAGGTAAAACTTTTAGAAGAGTTAGGCTAGAATGGATTGTTTTTCAGTTTACAATCTCAACTCATGAGAAACAAGAATACTATCTGTGTGTATAATCTGAATGCCTCAGGATCATGAATTGCTGCCACATGTTGTCCTGAAAGAGAAACGATCACTGGAGTTGCTGAAAGATCTCATAAAAACAAAGTATATTTTTCCAAACAAACAAATCCATTATTGAGTGATTTTGAGAGAATGCTCAGGAAACCCTCATGCCCGCTTTTCATAGAGTATTGGACAATCCACTGGGTAGAAACGGCTGTTTAGTTTATATTTTAAAAACCCCATTCTCATCTAAATACTTTTGCTTGACTCATTTGAAACTATTCTCCTCAAGGGTATCTATAGTAAATTTGCAATTCTGTGTTGGATGGAAGGCTCAACCTTGTGAGACAAATTGGACCTAATGATTTGGGGATAATGTTTCAACTCCATCTTTGTCCCTACTTATGTTTCATTCACAGATGAAAGAAAACCGAACAGCCACATTGCTTACCTGACTGCCAATAGCTTTATGTAACAGCCTCTTCCCATGACTGGCCAGGGTCTGCAAAATAGTTTTTGGAGTACAACAAAATGGTTATCTATAGCAGTGATGGATAAATTAGGCTTTGCTGATCTTTGCACTGGGCCTACATTCATTGGTTTTTTTTTTTATGCTTGCCAAGTTTTATTCTGTAATTTGTTCATTTCTTTCCCGCTATCTCATTGAGTAAATCTTTTTTTCCCAAATTAGCGTAAGCTCTGAATTGAAGATGTAGAGTGTGCATATTTATGCAAGTTTTAAAGAGCACTGGAGAATATTCTTTGGTAAATATAAAGATTATATGAAAACATATTTGGAATGTTCAAATTTCAAATTTTGAAGTTAATCAGGGTTATCGAACAATAAAGAAAAGTTGTGCTACTTGGCTGATATTTATCTAGAAGTTCTCATAAGGAATGCAAAGCTCACTAGCACCACACAAAAAAACAAATTTAAGAACTAGGGATCAAACCAGCAGGTTAATTTTGAAAACATGCCAAAATCTTGTTCTTCCTTTTAAAAATATGTATAAAAAAAGAGTAAGCATTTTTTCCAGACCAAAGTTCTTACCACATCAACTGGTTCAAGCAAGGGGCATCCCTGACCCTCTGCGAGTCTTGAAAAAGATTTACTTCCAACATCTTTCAGCAGAGTAATTATTTCCTTCTTTAGCTTTCTTTTTTGTCTAGCTTTGCAGCTACTGGATGTAACACAACTCACTTCTTTACTGAGAAAACTCAATAACCTATGGTAGATAGAAACAAAAAAGCAGAAATCAGGCGTAATTGCCATTTAGTTTAATAGGATGAGATGGAAATGAATGGAACAGTTAATAGGAAGAACCATATCTTTAATAAGTTAAGATAACTTATAACTTATTAAGTGATTAATAAAGTTGTTTCAGCTCACTCACACATAGTGCAATTGCGTGCCATGCATTTTATATAAAATAGAATCATGAAAGATAATCTAATCCAACACACTCCAATGACCAGGGGTGTCCTTGAGAGGTTACTGTCTTACCCCTTAAAAACCTTCAGGCAGGCAAACCACAATTACTGTAGGTAGATTGTTCCACAATTGTCAGAAAGCTGTTCATTATATTTAAGAAAATAGTTGTACAACTAAAATAGTTGTACTTTGTGCCCTTGTGAAATTGTCTCTCATTCTGCTTCTGAAGCCACAATAGCTCGAGGAACAAAAACCCAGCTCCTCTTGTGTTTCTTATAAAAAGCCCTATTGATCTGCAAAGAGACTATGCAGGAATGAACCAATGTTTCAACCAGAAAATGAAATATGCCAGCCTTTGGGTACCATGTTATTGGAACTACATTTGAGAGAGAGAGACAGAGAGGGACAGAGGAAAAAACCCTCTCAAAATGCCCTCATGTAATATACTTTCTTTCCTAGAAGTCCCATCTCTTCACCTTCAGTTGTATATATGCAAGCTATTTATTCAACAAAGGATAGACTTCAGCTCCGCATTCAATACCATCATTCCAAATATTCTTCTAGCTAAACTAAATCAGTTAGATGTGCCTGACCACACTTGTAAGTGGATCATAAACTTCCAACAGACAGGAAGCAGCAGGTGAAGTTAGGCAAAATCACATCAGATACTTGTACAATTAGCACACACACACACACACACACACTGTGTGTTCTCTCCAATTCTCTCTCTCTATACCAATGACTGCATCTCAAAAGATCCCTCTGTTAAAGTACTGAAGTTTGTAGATGATGCAACAGTGATTGGTCTCATTTGAGACAACAACGAATCTGCATACAGACAGGAGGTTGAACAACTAGCCTTGTGGTGCGACTGGAACAATCTTGAACACACACAAAACCATAGAAATGATGGTAGACTTTAGGAGAAACCCTCCTATACCTCTTACAATACTAGACAACACAGTATCATCAGTAAAGACCTTCAAGTTTCTAGATTCTCTAATATCTCAAGACTTAAAATGGACACCTAACATCCAAAACGTCATCACAAAATCATTTAAAAAACCCATCATTTCTGGTCTTCCACATACATTTGATAAACACCAGTTTGCATACAGAAGAAATAGATCTACAGGGGATGCTATAGACAACACTCTTCCCACTGCTCTGACTCATTTGGAATATCAGGGATGTGTGTGTATATGTGAGGATGCTTTTTGTAGATTTTAGCTCTGCGTTTAACACAATACTTCCACGTAGACTAGTGTCTAAACTTATGGATATTGGACTTTCTTATTCAATCTGCCTTTGGATTATGGATTTCCTGCCTGGCCGCTCTCAGAGGCCAGCTCTTCAGCCCTTATTCTTAACACTGGTACACCACAGGGTTGCGTGTTGAGTCCTTTACTCTATACTCTATACTCTTTATGTGTGTGACTGCATTCCCACTCATGCTAGTAATACTAAATTTGCAGATGATCTGAGTGGGATGAGTCTGCCTATCGAGACGAGGTGTTTTTGTGGTGTGGAGACAATAACTTGGTCCTTTACACCAATAAGACCAAGGAGCTTATAGCAGACTATAGAAGGAATAGATCAGACATCCAGCCCTTGTTTATCAATGGAGACCGAGTGGAGCAAGTGGCCAGTTTTAAGTTTCTGGGTGTTGTCATAAAAGAGGACCTGACCTGGGGCGCTCACATTGCAGCACTGGTCAAAAGGGCCCAGCAGAGATTATACTACCTGAGACTTCTCAGGAAACAACTGAATTAAAAACTGCTGGTGACCTTCTACCGCTGCATCATAAGAGACTATTTTAATTTAACTGCATCTGTGTATGGTTTGCTAATTGCACAGTGGCAGATAGGAGAGCATTCCAGAAGGGTAAAATCCTTGCCCAGAGAATCATTGGTTACCCTCTCACCTCTTTGGAAGAGCTTTATAATTCCCACTGCCTTAAGAAAGTTCAAAACATTCTTAAAGATCCATCTCATCCTAGGCACTCTTTTTTTGAACTATTACCATCTGGCAGACGGTACAGGATAATAAAAACAAGGACAAATACGCTGAAAAACAGCTTCTATCCCAGAGCAGTAACTATATTGAATTCTACTGTATAGTGCAATATTAATGCCATACTGGGTTTTCAATTCAATTGTATAGAATGTGAAGGGTGTGTGTTTGTGTTTTATTTTTATAGTTATGTACATCTCCACCACGGACCACCCCAACGATTCCCTTGAAGTGATGTCCTGGTGTCTGGAGGCCTTGCAGATCTGGATGGGGAGGAACAGGCTCAGGTTCAACCCATCCAAGACCAAGTGGCTGTGGTTTCCGACATCCCGATATAGTCAGTTGACGCCATCGCTGACTATTGGGGGCGAATCGCTGGCCCCCACGGAGAGGGCTCGCAACTTGGGCGTCCTCCTGGATTCACGGCTGTCTTTAGAAGAGCACTTGACGGCCGTGACCGGGAAGATTTTTCATCAGGTTCGCCTGATTCGCTAGTTGCATCCCTTTCTGGATCAGGACTCCCTACACACATTCACTCAGGCCCTCGCCACCTCCCGCCTGGACTATTGTAATGCTCTCTACATGGGGCTCCCCTTGAGGAGCACCCGGAGGCTCCAACTGGTGCAGAGTGCGGCCGCACAGGTGGTTATGGGAGCAACATGGCGCTCCCGTGTGACACCTCTCCTGCGCGAGCTGCACTGGCTCCCGGTGGTCTTCCGGGTGCGCTTCAAGGTTTTAGTTACCACCTTTAGAGTGCTCCATGGCTTAGGACCTGGTTATTTACAGGACCGCCTACTACCACAAACAGCCTCCCATTGGCCGGTACGCTCTCACAGAGAGGGGCTCCTCCGGGTGCCGTCAGCCAAGCAGTGTCGACTGGCGTCCCCCAGGGGGAGGGCCTTCTCTGTGGGGGCACCCACTATCTGGAACGAGCTCCCCCCCGGAAATACAGAGGATCCCGGATCTGCGCACTTTCCGCCATGCTCTTAAGACCCTCCTATTTCAGCAAGCCGGCCTGGCCTAATTTTCTCCCCTTTCTTTTAATTTTTTAAACTGAAATTTTAATTTGTTTTAAATTATTGGGATTTTTAATTGTCTTGGGCTAAATTATTTAATTTGGTTTTAAATTGTTTCTAACTTTTGTATTTATGTATTTTATTCTGTGCCTGTTCACCATCCTGAGTTCTTCGGGAGTAGGGCGGTATATAAATTTAATAAAACATAAACATAAATATAAAACATATAGTTATAATGTACACTGAAGATGGCATTTAATTTCATTGAATGAGGATGACAATTTATTTTATTTTATTTTATTATTTTATTATTTTATTTTATTTATTTTATTTTATTTTATTTTATTTTATTTTATTTTATTTTATTTTATTTTATTTTATTTTATTTTATTTTATTTTATTTTATTTTATTTTATTATTTTATTATTTTATTTTATTTTATTTTATTTTATTTTATTTTATTTATTTTATTTTATTTTATTTTATTTTATTTTATTAAATTAAATTAAATTAAATTAAATTAAATTAAATAATTAAATTAAATTAAATTTCTATACCGCCCTTCTCCCGAAGGACTCAGGGCGGTGAACAGCCACGAGATAAAACACATAAATACAAAAAATTTAAAATGAATTAAAACAAATTAAATAATTTGGCTGAATTTAAAATACCCCATAATTTAAAACAAATTAAAATTTACATTTAAAATTTTTTAAAAATTTACATTTAAAAAGGGGAGAAGATTTAGGCCAGGCCAGCTTGATGGAATAGGAAAGTCTTAAGCGCATGACGGAAGGTGCGCAGATCCGGGATCCTCCGTATCTCCGGGGGGAGATCGTTCCAGATCGTAGGTGCCCCCACAGAGAAGGTTCTCCCCCTAGGGGCCGCCAGTCGACATTGTTTGGCCGATGGCACCTGGAGGAGCCCCCCTCTATGGGAGCGTACTGGCCAGTGGGAGGCTATTGGTGGTAGCAGGCGGTCCCGTAGATAACCAGGTCCTAAGCCATGGAGCGCTTTAAAGGTGATAACCAGAACCTTGAAGCGCACTCGGAAGACCACCGGGAGCCAGTGCAGCTCGCGCAGGAGAGGTGTTACATGGGAACTCCACGTTGCTCCCATAATCACCCGTGCGGCCGCACTCTGCGCCAGTTGGAGCCTCCGAGTGCACCTCAAGGGGAGCCCCATGTAGAGAGCGTTACAATAGTCCAGACGAGAGGTGACGAGGGCGTGAGTGACTGTGTGTAGAGAGTCCCGATCTAGAAAGGGACGCAACTGGCGGATCAGGCGAACCTGATAAAAAATCCTCCTGGTCACGGCTGTCAAGTGCTCTTCTAAGGACAGCCGTGAATCCAGGAGGACACCCAAGTTGTGAGCCCTTTCCGTGGGGGCCAATGATTCGCCCCCAATAGTCAGCGATGGCACCAGCTGACTATATCGGAACGTCGGAAACCACAGCCACTCGGTCTTGGATGGGTTGAGTCTGAGCCTGTTTCTCCCCATCCAGATCCGTACGGCCTCCAGGCACCGGGACATCACTTCAAGGGCATCGTTGGGGTGATCCGGGGTGGAAATGTACAGTTGGGTGTCGTCAGCGTACTGATGGTACTTCACCCCGAAACCATGGATGATCTCGCCCAGCGACTTTACATAAATGTTGAACAAAAGGGGCATGAGGGCCGACCCCTGCGGCACCCCACAAACTTAAATAGGCATGTTATCAACTACCTTCTGTAAGTAATTGCATGAGGTGGACTAAATGTTTCTAAGAAAAAAAAGTTTTGTAACTGGGACTCTGCTATTGACAAGATCTCATTCTTAGCTATCTGTACCAGCAAGACATAAATAGGGCTACTTTTGCTTAACTTAATCACATGTTCAGATAGTCCTTCATGTATGACCACAATTGAGCCCCAAATTTCTGTTGCTAAGCAAGACAGCTAAGTGTGTTTTGCCCCATTTTATGACCTTGTAACAGTTGTTAAGTGAATTACTATAGTTGTTAAGTTAGTAACATGGTTGATAAATGAATCTGGCTTCCCCTTTAACTTTGCTTGTCAGAAGGTCGCAAAAGGTGATTACATGACTCCTGCAATTGTTATAAATACATGCCTGGTTGCCAAGTATCCAAATTCTGATCACATGACAATGGGCATTCTGCGGCACTCATAAGTATTTTTTTTCAGTGCCACTGTAATTGAATTAAATAAATTATTATATATTGAGGATTACCTGTATTAGGAAGATGATATTTTAAATAGCAGGGTTTAAATATTCTTTTACCTGTTAAAATGACAGGCATTTGTGATGTAAAAAACCAGACCAAGATAAATCACTTCAGACTTTTTTCCATCTTTCATATAATACATAAGCTATACAATTCAATTGAAAAACTAACTGAAATCTTCCAGGGGAAAAAAATAAAAATAAGAAACTTACAATAGCATGATTCCATAAGATGCACATCTACTTAGATATGGCTGTGTTCAGAATTTAACCAATCATATTCAAACGGATGTTTAGTAGTAGTACACCTCTGCTGTGAATTAGTAACTAAATAAAACCATGTAAAGTTCAGCTGTTCTACTAGGATTTTTCTGACATTTACTCAGTTGCCTCTTAGAGCAAAAGCCATGGTCTGCAAAGAGCTTACAAAGCATCAAAGGAATCTCACTGTTTGAAGGTATCCATTAGGAAAAAGGTACAAAACAGTTTTGAGGCATTGGATATACCATGGAACACAGTGAAGACAGTTATAAACAAGTGCAGAAAATATGACATAACTGACATTACCAAGAACTGAATATCCCTCCAAAATTCATGAAAACTCTTCCCAAGAAAACTGGCTGAGGGCTGGCAAAAAGCTTACAGTAATATTAAAGGAGTTGCAGGAATTTGTAGCAAGTATTGGTTGTGCACTACATGTGACAACAACCTCTTGTGTTCTTCATATATTCAAGCCTGGCTACATTTAAAAAAACCTACATCAAGTCTGACAGAAGCATGTGGGAAAACGTGTTGTGGTCTGATAAGACCAACTTGAACTTTTTGGCCATAACTCCAAAAAGTATGTTTGATGTAAAAACAATACTGTGTATCATCAAAAATACCCACAGTGAAGCATGGTGGTGGCAGCTTTATGCTTTGGGGGTGCTTTTTTTCAGCTGGAACTGGACTTTAATCAAGATGGAGGGAATTAGGAACAGTTCCAAATTTTAGTCAATTTTGGCACAAAACCTCCAGGCCTTTGCTAAAATGTTGAAGATGAAGAGAAATTTCATCAACATGTCCCAAAGCACATCTCCACATCAACAAAAAAATGACTTTAGCCTGAGATCAAAGTTTTGGAATGGCCCAGCCAGAACAAGGACTGAATCCAATTGTAAACCTGGAGGGTGACTTGAAGAGGGCTGTGAATAGAAGATGTCCTTGCAATCTGACAGATCTGGAGCGCTTTTGCAAGGAAGAGTGGGCAAAAGTCTCCAACACAAGATGTGCCATGTTGATAGGCTTCCAACAGACCTGTCTCCAATCTTCCCTTTTTGGGAAAGGTGGGGGGTTTTTTTGAAAAGTTTTTTTTTAATTTTTTAAAACATAAAACATAAAATACATCTTTTTAGAGCAAGGATTTGATCTGGTATAAAGTAAACACAATTACTCACATTCCCTCAACCAATTTTGTTCCAAATTTTATCCATTTACCTCTTTAAATAAAAGAAAAAAAAAAGAAAAAAAAATCTTATTCTAAACATTTAGATTTTAAACATTCTACTATGTCACCCTAAATTCTAAACAATTATTTCCGAATAGACATCATTCCAAATCTTTGTCATTTTAACAATCAATATTTCATATATATTCCTCATTTCTAAGACCCATTACATCGAATCTATATTGTACCTCTTTTAAATGGCAACTAGTATCCATTATCTTGATAAAGAATATTTCCCTCCTCTCTTAATTGTTTCTAAATCAATCAACATTTCCATCTAAAATTTATCACTCCCAAAATACTTTATTTTAAAGTCTAATATTTAACTGATTCATAATTTAAATAGCTATTTCCCAACAGTGTTTTCCGCCACTTCTATCTCTATTTATTTAACCGGTTCAGTTTGGCTTAACTATTCTCCAGTATTGTCTCCTCCACTTCCTCCTAAGTTTATTTTTTGGCTGGTTTGCATCTTAATCAGTTGCTTTCCAGCGGTGCTTTCCTCCACTCCTAACCTTACTTATTTGAGCTGGTTCACAGTATAATTTTAACTGCATACCAACGTTATCTCCTTCAATCCTCCTAAATCTATTATGAAACTGGTTCGCAACTCAAATAGTTGCTTCCCAGCAATGCTTTCCTCCGCTCCAACCTCTATTTTTAACTGGTTCACAACTGTATTTCAGTTGCTCTCCAGGTATATTTTCCTCCATTCCTAACTTTATTTTTTGGCTAGTTCAGTTTTGCTTTAACTGTTACCTAGCGTATGCTTTCCTCCACTCCTAACTCTAATGGCTGGTTCACAGCTTTACTTTGACTGTTTTCCAGCCCGTGCTTTCCTCTACTCCTAACTCGTATTTTTATTTTTAACTGGTTCCCAGTTTTGTAACTGTTCTCCAGTATGATGCTTTCCTCCACTCCTACCTTATTTGTAAGACTAGATCACAGCTTTACTTTCACTGTTCTCCAGAATCATGCTTTCCTCCACTCCTAACTTCATTTGTTTAACTAATTCATAAAATTTTATTTTAATTATTGTCCAGCTTTATGTTTTCCTCCATTTCTACATCTCTTATTCAATTATTTAATTTTAAATTAATTCACAATATATTACTCATATTCATTTTTAAATCCATTCTCCTCCATATCTTTGACTGATTTAAAATAAAAAATTATATCGACAAATATCTTAGCTCCTATTCTCTCCTCCGTGCCATATTTATTTCCAGTGAATATCAACATTTAAAATCACTTTAAAATCAATTTTCTATAATTATTAAATCTGTAATTAATTCTTCTTAATATCCAGCACCTTAGAGAACATTTTCTTCTAAATTATTAGGTCTGTAAATAGAACTTAAAAATTCCAAGTTTAAAAAGGTATTAAAACATCCAAAAATCATAATTTTCAATCATTTATACTCATTTTTTCCTAGTCAAATTGTTGTATATTCATAAAATCAACTTAGATAAAAATAATAGTGAAAAAAGAGAGAGAATAGTTACAATATTAATAATAGTTAAAATAAAAACAAAAGAAAAAAAACAAGAATAAAAATAGGAAAGAGAATAGAAATATAACAAAAAAAATTGAAAAGAGAATTAGAAAAAATAGAGAGGGGAAAAGGGACAAAAGAAAAAAAGAAAGAAGAAAGAAAAAAATAAAATAAAATTGAGAGAGAGCCCAGAGAAGGAAGGAAGATATCTCCTAAAATTATTCAAACTCCCAGACACCATTACATCCATTTAATTCAAAGTATGGTATTTTGTTATCTTGTTACTTTATATTCCATTTTTTTTCCTTCTCCAATCTATCTGAGTATATTTATTTTCCATTTCAATGTCATCAAAGTTATAAGTTCTATAAAGTTAATTCTGAATTGACTATTCCATATATGGTATCATCATGTTCTTCTTTTGTTGCCACTCCCTTTTTCTCTTGTTGTCATGCTTAATAAATCAGTTTTCATTATTCCTTTGGTTTCTTCTTTCTGGTCTTCAATATCCTCCAATACACACATTATATGTCCAAAGTCAAGCCTCTTGAAATTTTTCTCAAAATAATCCACTTTAAATAACAGGCAACAAAGTTTCTCTTTCAAGTAACAAGCAGTCTGGAATTTAACTTTTACTTTCCAGCTGGCAGCCATCTTTTCCATCTTCGTTTGTCTTTTATCTTTACTTTTAAAAGCATATTTATTTCCTCTTCTCCTTCTTCTCTCTCAAACACAATCCAATCTCGTTTAACCAAAAAAAATAGCCACTAAAAATAAAAAAAGAAGACCAAATCTGTAGTAAAATCATTTCCAAAAAGTCTATAATTAACGCTATCTATCAACAGGTCTTTTCTCCACCATTCATTTGAGTCTTTTTGCCCCAGTGTTTCTCAGCTGCTGTTAAGGCTGGGCCACACTTTTTGTAATCCAGCATTTACTGGCAGTTCCCACCTGGGCAGAAGTCGACTCACCCGGCTTTCAAACTCCTGCTCCGCTCTCCGCTTCTCTCTTCTCCTCCTCTCCTCCAGCACGATCTTTGTTCCCAGTTGCTGTGGTTTCGGGACAGCCGCCATGGCTGTCGTTCCACTGCCGCTGGCATGAAGGGAAAGCCTCCGGCCCCGAGGAACCTGCCCGTTCCTCTCGGCTGCCCAAGGGGTCTCTTCTTGTCCCCCTGTCCCTTCAAGACAGGGGAGGTCCGAAGACCTGTCTGGCAGCTTGGCAGACGGGGTTTGGCAGAGCTCCGTGGAGCTCGCCATTTCCCCGTCCTTTTTGGGAAAGGTGGTTGAGAAGGTGGTTGCGTGGCAGCTCCAGAGGTTTCTGGATGAAATGTATTATCTAAACCACTACCAGCAGGGGTGAAATTATCCCGGTTCGGACCGGATCGGGTGATCCGGTAGCGATCATCGTTGTTGGTTCGGCGATCCGGTAACGATGATGGAGCAAAGTGCCCACCTGACCGGGTTTCATTACTTTCTGGTTTTAACCAGAGACCGCATGCCGTCAGCCTTACCAACGCGCTGGCTCTGTTGGATGATGGGCATGCTGAATACGCCAGCGGAGGATCTAGAAGGTAAGGCTGACGCTGACATAGGGGGGAGGGTAGAAGGAGACCCGCGATGCTCGGCTCCTCGAAGGGAAATGGCGAGACTCGCTCGCCTTTTGGGTCTAGTGCGTTCAGCTTCCTTGTGGCTTTTGGGCAACTGCTGCCCATTTGCCTTCCCCGCTGCCTGCATCCAGCCCATGACAGGGGAGACGCCACTTCCAGGCCAGGCTGCCCGCCCTCCCAGAGCACTTTCTTCCTTCTTCCGCAGTAGCCGCTGAAGCCGAGACTGCTGCTTTGCTGAGATGCGCATGGGTAGTCTTGGGAGAGCGGGCAGATGTAAGGCCGACACTGACGGTCAGGAAGGGGAACCTGCTGCGCTTGGCTGAAGAAGAGCCACTTTGGGGGAACATGGCAAGGCTTGCTCGCCTTTTGGACCTGGCGCGCTTGGTTTCCACGGGGCCTTTGGGTGACTGCTGCCCACTTGCCTTCGCCTCCACCTCGGGTCCTGCCACCTGCATCCAGCCAATGACGGGGGATGCTTCTAGCACGCCCCACCCCGCTATTCTCCCCCTGACTCCACCCCCCAACTGGCACACAGCTCGAGCTGCACCTCGTCCAGGCTAGCAAGCCTTAATTAATCCTGTGCTGCCTGGTCTATCGAGTCCTGGTTACTCCTGGGCAAGCCCTGAGTAATCCTGGGTAGCCTGGGTGGTGATGTTGCTCCCAATCAGGCTTAGGGCCTCTGCGCAGGCATGGAAATGGCCGGTGCTGACCCGAGCACCTGCTGTTTCCTGTCCGCCTTTCAGCTGAGAGGCAGTTGCGGGCCAGCGGCGACTAGGAGATCTGAGGTCGCGGCAGCAGTCCTGGAAGCAGCGAGCAGGAGAGGGAGCCACCAGCGAGCAATAGGACGCAGGGCTAGCAAGTGGAGGCAGGGTGAGGCTTCCTGGGTGGCTGGAATGTGGGGCAGTTGGCTCCATCAGCTGCCGTCCCTGCTGGAATGACAGCCCCGGTGCAGCGGGGCTGACAAGAGAGAGAGAAGAACGAAAGAGAAAGAAAGGGAGAGAAAGAGAGAAGAAAGGAAGAGAAAGGAAGAAAGAGAGGGAGAAAGAGAAAGACAGAGAAGAAAGAAAGAGTGACGTGAGTGATGTCATGTTGGCCCGTCCACCCAGTCGCACAACCACCAAGCCAGACCCACCAAGCCACTCCCACAGAACCAGTGGCAAAAAATTTTAGATTTCACCCGTCTACCAGTCATGATTCAGGCCTGGATATGGGACTAAAATGGTATTGGTCATGCTTTTTGATGATCTCTGGCGGGAGAGGGAGCAGGTAGTGTATCCATCCTTGCTCTACTTGACCTCTCATTGGCTTTTAATACCATCGACCATGGTATCCTTCTGGAGGACCTTTGGGGGATAGGAATGGAGAGCCCTGTGCTATCCTGGTTCACTTCCTTCCTCTGTGGCGCCTTCAGTCAGTGTTGATAGGAGGGGATCCAGCCCTTGTCCACTGCTTTATGGGGACCCGCAAGGCTCGATTCTTCTGTGCATGCCCAAGATGGTGACTTCCCTTTGAGTTTGCAATCTTGGGGGTATGATTATGGCTCTGGGGGCCTTGGGGAGGGCAGAATTCGATCGTTGCAGCCCTGCCCCGGCTGGAGGAGTGTCTGAGTTTTGTTTTGAGGGGTCTCTGGCTTTGTGAAATGCCCCAGAGGTTTGCGGAGATCAGCAGGACGGCGAGAGCAGCCCGAGAGAAGGAAGGGTGGCGACTGGCTTCCTCGGTGGAGGCGGCTGGGCCAGGATGGTGGCAGTGGCAGCGGTGCAGCACCCTCGTCGGGATCCTCGCCGACCCAAACCACCCTGGATATGCATTATAGGGGCGGAGGGTGGGCGAGGTGAGGATGAGGAGGCTGGTGGCGGCAGCAGCGAAGCTGGCGGTTTGGAAATGGCGGCCGCTGGGATGAGGAAGGAGTCACCGGAGTTGGTGTGTGGGAGCGCTGGAGATGGTGGGCGGCAGCTGCTCGCTTGTTGGAACTCCTGGGTGATTGTGGGGTGCTGTTTGGCCCCTCGGTTGTCCCAGAGACCTCCATGAGGATTTATGGAGGTTGGGCGAGGTGAGTAGCAGGACCAGCAGAGAGATCTAGGAGGGGTTGGGGAGAGACGGATCATGACTGAGGGGGTTTCTCCCTCATGGCACTTTGTTGCCTCTGCTCTCCTTTTTTCTTACTTCCCACTTTCCTGAGACCAGTTCAAGGCCTTATTACGGACTAAGTTTACAGGCTGTGCCGGACTGCTCCTGCTTATTGGACAGTATCTCCTTGGTTAGACTCCATCCTGACCTCCCTGGATATGGCTGTTTATGGTCTCTGCAGACTGAACTTTGTTCTGGATCCTGAGGACTGACTTATTTCCACTTTCTCTCTTAAATTGAATGGGGAGTTACATCTGGGGATGCAAATACAGGTGGAGTTGGTCTACAGCTGCTGACTCATTTCCGGTTTTCTTTGGACGATCTTGGTTGGCCAGCCTCCGTGAGAGGGGGGTTAGGCCACCTATTACCGGATCGAAACAGCGTTTTTACTCCCGCCACTGCTGTGAGAGGGCAGTGAGGTCCTGTGAGTTTCAAGTAAGGCATTCCGCTCCTTTAGACTGCTATAACATCGAAATGGACCCTCTGGTTATTGGCCATGGGTCATCACCTCCCCCTGATGTCAGATGTATTCGGTGAATGAACCTCGTGCTCTGCAGAGATTCCCCCCTCTTGCAGGTTTGGCCCTCCACGTTATCGAGGGCCTATCTTGATGACGGGTTTTGGAACCCTGAGAGATGGCATGCGGCAAAGAAGTTTTTAAAGTGGGTTTTTAATCAAAATTTTAAGGGGTTCGGGGGGGGACCAGGGTGGGTTTGGGGGGAAATCCACCAGGGTCAAGACCAGGCCCTGCGAAGGGCTGTAGCATTAGGGACATAGGATTGGATGTCAGGGAAGGGGCTGGAGCTCGACCTAGGGAGGGCTGTTCTGTCAGTACTGTGGGTGGGAGGGGCAGATATGGTGGAAGCAGGGGGCCACATCATGTTCGGGGAGTGTGCACTCGCTATCTTCGAGCGATTGCGCACTCCGGTCCCCAATGCTTCTCTCGTTCCCCAGGTTGCTCAGATCCTCAGGGCCTGAGCCTCCGGCTGATGTAGTGCAATGCCAGGTCCATGGTAAATAAACCCCCCCTCATTTACGATCTTATTCAAGAGGGGGGAACGGACCTGGTGGGTATTACGGAGACCTGGCTGGGTCCGGAAGGGGGGGTGCCCCTTGTGGAAATGTGCCCACCGGGTTTCTGGGCATTCCATCAGCCGGGGGCTCAGGGAAGGGACAGTGGGGGTGGCGGTTATTATTAAAGAAAGCCTATGTCCGAGGGAGGCCACTGTTCCTCAGATAGCCAGATGTGAGTCCCTCCTTGTGAAGTGGGGTCAGGGGGTGCAGGTGGGTCTGCTGATTGCGTACCTGGCTCCCTGCGACGCAACAGCGGCCCTACCCGAGCTGCCTGACGTGATAGCTGGGGTGGTGGTTGATACTCCCAGGCTTATGGTTATGGGGGATTTCAACCTGCCATCGGTCGGCAAAACATCTATGGCGGCTCGGGAGTTCATGGCTTCCACGACGGCCATGGACCTGACCCAGTTAGTTCATGGCCCTACTCACATAGGGGGACACACTCTGGATCTGATTTTTGTCTCTGGTCAGTGGCAGAATGATCTAGAAATAGGGGATTTAGTCATCGAGCCCTTGTCATGGTCTGATCATTCACTCCTTCAACTGGACTTTCGAACTGCTAACCCTCGCCGCAGGGAGACGGAACTGGTTAGATGGTTCCGTCCCAGGCGCCTGATGGACCCGGATAGGTTCCTGATGGAGCTTGGGCCATTCCCTGAGGCTCTGGCTCACAGCTCAACTGAAGAACTGGTGGCGGCCTGGGAGAGGGCGACCGCTGGGGCTTTGGATCGCGTCGTGCCTTTGCGGCCTCTGACCAGGCGCCGATCTCAATTGGCTCCTTGGTTCTCCAAGGAGCTGAGAGAGATGAAGCGCCGGATAAAACACCTGGAGAGTGGTTGGAGGGCCAGCCATTCCGAATCTGACCGAACACTGGTGAGGTCTCATATTAAGACCTACCTAGTGGCGATCAGGGCGGCAAAGTCTAGCTACTTTTCTGCTGATTGCGTCTGCAGATAATCGCCCAGCTGCCCTGTTCAGGATGACCTGATCCCTTCTCCATCTGGGAGCGTGGGAAGACGCTTTGCAGGGCAGGACTGAGGATTTTGTACAATATCTGCAAAACAAAATCGCTCAGATTCGGGAGGGTTTGGACTCCGACTGGGTAGATCCAGATGGGGTGATGGAGGTGGGTCTTGAGAATGTTAGCTGGGAGAAGTTTGACCTTGTGACTCTCGAGGACGTGGACAGGGCTCTGGTAGGTTGAACGCGGCCACATGTTTATTGGACCCGTGTCCCTCCTGGTTGGTGCTGGCTTCCCAGGAGGTTACCCGAGGCTGGCTCCAGGGGATTGTCAACGCTTCTTTGAGTGAGGGTTTCTTTCCCGCGGACTTGAAGAGGCAGTGGTGAGGCCCCTCCTCAAGAAGCCTACTCTGGACCTGGCTGTTTTATCAAACTATCGTCCAGTCTCCAACCTTCGCTTTGTGGCGAAGGTTGTTGAGAGTGTGGTGGTGCGACAGCTTTCCCAGTACCTGGATGAAGCAGACTATCTGGATCCATACCAGTCGGGCTTCAGGCCTGGATACAGCACGGAAACGGCATTGGTCACGTTGGTTGATGATCTCTGGAGGGCTCGGGACCGGGGTTTTTTCTCTGTCCTGCTCCTGTTAGATCTCTCAGAGGCTTTTGATACCATCGACCATGGTATCATGCTGTGACGGTTGGAGGGGTTAGGGGTGGGGGGCACTGTGCTACGGTGGTTCTCCTCCTTCCTCCCTGACCGTACGCAGTCTGTGTTGGCAGGGGGGCAGAGGTCGACCCCGAGGTGCCTAGTTTGTGGGATGTCGCAGGCAGTGGTGTGATTCAATTTTTTTAACAACAGGTTCTGTGGGCGTGGCTTAGTTGGGGGTGTGGCTTGGCTAGCTGGTCATGTGACCAGGTGGGCATGGCTATGTGCATAGGGACTACTCAGAGGGCTGAAAAAAGTCATTTCTGACTGGTCCCCACACTTTTGACCGGTCCTCACACTTATGACCATCCTCACATTTATGCCCATGCAGCATTCTTAACAACCGTGTCAGTCATTTCACCACTACTTCTCTTCACTACGGTGACAAGATAGGGCGCAAAACGTAAAATGTGAGGAAAGTCGTAAATTCAAGGACTGGTCAAAAGTGCAAGGACCGGTCAAAAATAACTTTTTCAGCCCTCTGAATAGTCCATTTACTACCGGTTCTGTGGGTAATGTGACTGGGTGGGCATAGCCAATTTTTTTTTTAACTTTTACTTTTAAAAGCATTTTTTCTACAACCTTAAGAGGTTGCAGAAAACAATGCTTTTAGAAGCTTCTGACAATCAGGCAAATCTGCTGGGATCGCCAGAAGCTTTTAAAGGGATTTTTTTTTCCTACAACCTCCTCGGCTGAGGTTGCAGGAAAAAATGCTTTTAGAAGCTTCTGACAATCACACAAATCTGCTGGGATCGCCAGAAGCTTTTAAGGCGATTTTTTTTCCTACAACCTCTTCAAAAAATCCCTTTAAAAACCTCTGACAATCTAAGCTGAGTTGCCTGATCCTCAGAAGCTTCTAAGAGCATTTTTTTTCTGCAACCTCTTCAAGCTTCTGCCTTTTCAAGGCAAAAAAGGGCGAGGGGGGGGGACACACATGTGTGGCAGTGAGATATTCCACAGCTCAAACCTCCCCCCACCAGAAACTTTGGAAGGTTTCCTGTCTCTAAACTCTAATTTTGTGCTCAATTGTGGTCATAAATCAAGGACTATCTCTGCCTTCCTCCGCATGGCAGCCTTGTCCTAGTAAACTCCTTTTCCTTTCTGGCAATTTTCCTCTCTGTTGGAGGCACCAAAACAATCTAGACGATATAAGGTTTCCTGCTGGAGCAGGGGATTGGACTAGATGGCCTCCAAGGTCCCTTCCAGCTCTAGATTGCTATCCTGTTTCAAAGCATCTTCTGAAACCATGTCTAGTGCCATGGTTTGTGGTCCTTCCTTCCTGCCTTTCTCTTCTTTCTATCTCTTTCTTTCTTTCTTTCTCTCTGTCTCCCTTCCTTCCGTTCTTCCCTCCTTCCTTCCTTTCTTTTTCTTTCTTTTTCTCTCTCTCTCTTCCTCCCTCCTTTCCTCCTTAAATGCCAGCAAAACCCACTACTTTGCTCCTAAAATGGTCTAGGGCAGAGGTCCCCAATCTTGGCAACTTTTAGACTTGTGGACTTCAACTCCCAGAAATCCTCAGCCAGCAAAGCAAAGCAAAGCAAAGCAAAGCAAAGCAAAGCAAAGCAAAGAAAAGCTGGCTGAGGAACTCTGGGAGTTGAAGTCCACAAATCTTAAAGTTGCCAAGGTTGGAAACTCCTGCCCTAGGAAAACAATCCACGTTGCTAAAACAAACAAACAACCCACATTGCATCTGTTTTAGGGGAGGAGGTTCAATTCATTGCCCAGTTGGAAGACTGAAATGAAATGCTCCAAACTGACAGCATTGCTTCTAATGACATTCAGCTCCAGATCAGATCGGGCTTTTTTTTTTTTTGCATGAAAGAGGGACACAGCGAAACAAAAAGCCTCCAGCCTCCGATGTGAAGCAAATTAAAGCCTCTTTCTCTCCTTCTCTCCCCCACTCCCCACTTCCCTTTTACCTTTGTTTAATGCTCTGGAAGTTCTTCTCTCCCAGGCAAGCAGCAAGCTGCTTTCTCTACCCTGCTCTCTTGCGTCTGGAGCCAGTGGGGAACCACGTGGCAGCCCACGTGGATCCCAGACAGCGGAACTCAGGCTAGGGAAGGGGTGGGCAATTGTGGCTCTTTTACAACCTGTGGACTTCAATTCCCAGAATTCCTGAGACAGCCAAGCTGTCTCAGGAATTCTGGAAGCTGAAGTCCACAGGTTGTAAAAGAGCCACAATTGCCTACCCCTGGCTACGGTAGGCTGGTGCCGCATGGGTGGGAGGCGGGGCGGGGCGGGGCGAAGGGCGGGTGAGCCAGCAATTTAATAAACGGTTCGGTTTGCTGCGGGGCCAATAAATTACAAAAAAACACCGAACCGTTTGTTAAATTGCTGGCTCGCTCGCCCCATTTATTGGGAATAAATAGTAGTGCGGAGGGGCGGGGCAAGGGGCGGGGTGAGCCAGCAATTTAACAAAGGGTTCGGCCGAACCCCCTAGAACCCCCAGAATCCCACCACTGGTCGCAGGGTCAGTCCTCTCGCCCCTCCTGTTCAACATTTATGTGAAGCCGCTGGATGAGATCATCTGTGGCTTCGGGGTGGATTTCCATCAGTATGCTGATGATACTCAGCTGTACATTTCCACCCTGGGCCACCCCAATGAGGCCCTTGAAGTGATGACCCGGTTCCTGGAGGCCGTACGGATCTGGATAGGGAGAAACAAGCTCAGACTCAACCCTTCCGAATGGCTGTGGTTTCCAGCATCCCGTCATAGCCAGTTGGTTCCATCACTGACTATAGGGGGTGTGATCTTGGCCCCCTCCTGGACTCACAGCTGTCTTTAGAGGACCATGTGACGGCTGTGGCCAGGGGGGCTTTTTATCAGGTTTGCCTGATCCGCCAGTTGCGTCCCTTTCTGGACTGGGACGCCTTGCACACGGTCACTCATGCCCTCATCACTTCCCGTCTGGACTACTGTAATGCTCTCTACATGGGGCTCCCCTTGAAGAGCACCCGGAAGCTCCAGCTGGTCCAGAATGCGGCCGTGCAGGTGATTATGCGGGCGACTCGATGCTCCCATGTAACACCGTTCCTGCGCGAGCTGCACTGGCTCCCGGTGGTCTTCCGGGTGTGATTCAAGGTGTTGGTCGCCACCTTTAAAGCGCTCCATGGCATAGGACCTGGGTACTTACGAGACCGCCTTCTGCCTCCAATAGCCTCCCACCGACCAGTACGCTCCCACAGAGAGGGTCTCCTCAGGGTGCCGTCGGTTAGACAGTGTCAACTGGCGACCCCCAAGGGGAGACCCTTCTCTGTGGGGGCACCTACCCACTGGAACGAGTTGCCCCCGGAGATTCATCGGATTCCCGACCTTCGTACCTTTCACCGCGCCCTTAAAACATTATTATTCCATCAAGCAGGGCTGGCCTAAAATATTATTTTTAATGGGTTATTTTATGTTATTTTAGATTGTGGGCCAAACTATTTAATAATTTTAAATTGTTTTTAACTTTTATATTATGGGTTTTTTATCCTGGCTGTACACCGCCCTGAGTCCTTCGGGAGAATGGCGGTATATAAATTTAATAAAACTGAAACTGAAACATGAAGCTGCTAGGTTAATCTGTCACCATGAACTGAAATATCATCAATATGCTGATGATTCTCAGCTGTATATCAGCCTGTGGTGAGTTAAGTGATGCCATGGCCTCCCTCTTGCAGTGCCTGGAGACTTGTTAGGGGCTGGATGGGGAGCAACGGGTTGAAACTGAACCCTGGCAAGACCGAGTGGCTCTGGGTTTGGGGTTCTTTGGCCCATGGAAAATTGTTACCTTTATCATGGATTGAGTAGCACTACTGCAAACATACCCTATGCGTAGTATGGGGGTTCTCTTGGACTCGCAACACCTGCTCAAAGAGCAGGTGGCAGCCATGGCCAGGAGAGCCTTTGTACAACTGCGGGTTGTGCACAAGTTATGCCCTTCTCATGGTCACTCATTCGGTAGTCACCTCCCGTTTCGACTATTGCAATGCACTCTACATGGGGCTCCCCCTGAAGAGCATCTGGAAGCTTCAGTTGGTTACAAAATGCAGCACCCCGCATCTTTTTGTGCAGACTTCAATGTGTACATTTCACCTCTCCTGCGGGAACTGCATTGGTTGCCAATTTGTTTCCAGATGCAATTCAAGGTGCTGGTTGTCACCTTTAAAGCCTTTCATGGCTTAGGACCAGGTTATCTGGGGGACCGTCTCTTGCTGGTTACATCTACCCGACCCACTAGAGTGGGAAGGCAAGGAATGTTGCGAGTCCCATCCCCTAGGGAGATACATCAAGAAGGTCCAGAAGAAGGGCCTTCTCCTTGGTGGCTTGCTCTTTCTGGAACATCATTCCCCCAGAGATTAGATTGGTCCCATTCTAACGCTCTCCCAGAAGGCACTGAAGACATGGTTCTGCCAGCGGGCTTGGGTAACCCAGAGCAGGATGGAGCCCACTAAATGGCTTGTATGAATATGTGTTGTTGCAGGGAGGGGGTGGGTAGATGGCTATTATTTTCTTATTTATTATTTTCTTATTGTCTTTTATTATGTTTATTTTTATAAGATATTTTTATATTCGTGTAAGCCGCCTTGAGTTGCAATAGGCAAGTAGAGAGGAATATAAATTTTCAAAAAAAAAAAAAAAGTCTGAATGCTGTCATAAAATCAAAAGATGCTTTAGCAAAGTATTATTTTAAGGGTGTGCACACTTATGCAACCATGTTATCATGTTTTTTTGTTATTTTGCTCCTTAAAAAATTTATTTGTTTTTCAATTGAATTGTGCGGTGCGCCCCACCGCGGCCCGTTTTTGGCCCAGAAGGCTGAAGGGAGGCCTGCTAGGCCCAAAACAGGGTATGGGAGAGCATGGGGGGTTGCTTGTGTATGGTGGGGCGCATGCACGGGGGGTTACGTGCACATCCGCGGGGCGGGGTGTGGAGGACATCACACACACATTGCATTATGGGTGCCATCACATGCGCATTAGCACTGTCGCACATGCACGCTTTTGGCACATGATGAGAAAAAGGTTAGCCATCACTGCCCTAGGTTATAAGAGGGATGGAAGAGAAAATAGTCAGGCTTTGAAGGTTCAGATAAATGCCTGATAAAATCCCACTGTCCCTTTCCTTTTTTATTTTTTATAAAAGTTTTTTTTATTTTATAGACAAACAAACATACAATACATAATCATTCAGTGTATCATCTGAGTACATCTTTTGTGTCTTCTTCCTACTCCTCTACTATTTATCGTATCTTAATATTATCATTTCATTTATTGTTTCTGTCCAGTGTCCCCATGCGCCTTTCCTACTCAATGGGTTGACAGACATGTTTCCATAGGGATCTCAGTTTAGTTGCGATTTTTCTTTTTTAGGGATTTTTTCCCTTTTACATTAGCTGTTTACTTATGGAATATGCAAATTCTCCTAAAAGGAAAACATTCTGAAAATGCCAACTGGAGGGCCTTCAACAGTCACTCTCTCTTAGCCCAACTTACTTTACCAAGTGGTGGCTGTAAGAAAAATATAAGGAACAGTACTGGGTGTGTTTGTTGCCTTAGTTATAAAAATAATGACGACAGGATGTAAACAAACCAAAATCCATGGCAAAATCAAAATTTGCTAAAGGAATAGTGATTTTAATAAAAGCACTTCTAATTTTACAGCTGAATAAGATTTTGGGTTCTAAAGAGGAATTTCCAAACTGTGAGGTGAACCTCCTTTGGAGAGGTGCAGATAGTCCAGGGAAGGGGTGAAGATATTTATTTTTTGTGTCTTTATTAAAATTAAAGTTTCAGTGTTTTGCTTTTGTTGTTCATTTGTGTTAATTTTGGTGTTTGCAGTTTTAGGGGAAGTGTAAATTTAAAATTTCGCTAAAGGAATATTTATGCATGTGGGATTTCCCCCCTCATTATGGTGCTGACATTGATGCCTGTTTGTAGGCTATTTTTTCTGAGAAGTCTGAGGATTTAGATGGTGTATGGAAATGTTCAGTGTCTCTGGTCAATTTGGTGGGTGGCCAGAAATGTTTGGCCTAATTACCTGGCCAGCAGGAGAAACAGAAAAGCTGCACAGTGTCAGAAGACCAAGCGGTGAAAAAGGCCATGTAGATTTCTATTGATGTCTTCCTGAGTGGCAAAAGAATGGGACTGCTTCAGGCAGTGGCTTCTCCATTGGAGAGGCACCTTGTTGAATGGGTGGCAGGCAACAGAGCTCAGAAGCGCTATGGATCAGCTGCTTTGCTCCAGCTGATGGGTGATATGGAACGACTCCAGAGAACATAGCGGGATGGCAGAATAAGTGGCAACAGACTAACGCTTAGCCGATATTCTCCATCTATTCTCTGCTATTTTACAGAGATTATAATGACAAGCTGGGTAGAACAGGACAAGGACATGACAGTGGCTACAAGGTCCTGGCTGTTGGAGACTCCAATGAGTGAAGGGCTCAGATGGCCAGGCAGCTTGTGGCAGTGGGAGCAGGAGCAGAGCAAGGCAGCAGACACAAAGGAGCTGCCTTGTGTCTTGCAACTGCCATTCGAATAGCCACATGGTAAAGCATCCATTTTGGAGGATTCCCTTACCTGTCTGAGAGGATTTGGGATTAAAGTTGCTGGCACATGGATTAAGGCCATTTATATGGAACAGGACATATAAAGTTTATTACATACCTGATGAAGTTATTGTGGTTTCTGAGGAAACTTGAGGTTTTTCACAAAGCTCTGACACAAATTTGGTTGATGCTCTCATTATTCCTTGGAATGAAAAGGCAATGGGATGCTGAACCAATTTTGTCTGTGTGGACTCTGTGCACGTGGATCTTGCAGAGTGCCATGGTTTATTGAACTACTCCGAGAGATGAAGTGGCACCAGAGATGCCTAGAGCGCTGATGAAGACAAAAAATGAAGTTGACTGAGCAAAAGGAAGAGCCTATATCAAGACTTAAGTAGTGGCCATAAGGGTGGCAAAGTGTACTTACTTCTCTATCTTTATTGCATCTGCAGATAGCTATCCAGTGGCTTTGTTTTTGCTTTTGGTAATCAGTCTCCACTTGGGTGAGGAGCTGTGGCAGCTCTTGCATGGCTGTAGTGAGGAATATTCTTAGTAACTGTCAGATAGTCAGAATTCACTCTAAGTTTGACTCTGGATGGACAGATTCTTGGAAGTGACAGACTTATATCTGAGCACTATTATTTGGGAACAGTTTGAGCCAGATGACCCAAAGGGTTCTCCTGTCCCAGACTGAAAAGAGTTGTTCCATCTTTCAGGAAGATTTAACTAAACATGTAGGGCATAGTTCCAAAACCCAAGTCACTCCGTTTGATTAAGGTCTTCTGGGAGATGGGACAGTTCTTTTCTGTCTGGATTCAGGCCAGGTATAATACTGAAATAGCATTGTTCATGCTTGCTGAACACTTTTGGAAGACTTGGGATGAGGCGATGCAATTGTGCTGGCTATCCTTGATCTTTTAGCAGCTTTTGATACCATCAATCTTAATATCCTTCTGAACTGACTCCAGAAGTTGTGAGTGGGAGGCACCATTTTGTGATGGTTCTCCTTTGTGACTGCTTCTAGTTGGTGTTGATGGGCAAGGAAAGATTGAACCCCTATGTCCCTGCAATGTTGGGTTCCTCAGGACTTTGATCTCTCCCCTTATATATGAAATCGCTGTTTAAGATCATCTAACAGTACAGGGTGTGGTATGATCAGTACCCTGATGATACCAAGTTAGACATCTCTATCCCTGGCTGGAAAAGCGATAATACTGCAGTTTATCTAAGCGCCTGGAAGTTATAAGGGTCTGGATAGGAATGACCCAACTTTGAATCAACTCTGGCAAGACAAAGTAGCTCTGGGGTTTTGGTCCTCAAGAGTCTGGTGATTTGTCATCTTCGACTCTGGACAGGGTTGCCCTCTCCAGGATAAAAGTGGAGTGCAATAAAAGTGGAAGTGGAATTCTTCTGGATTCTCAGCTTCTGCTTAATGAACAGTTAGCAGATTTAGTCACTTTAGTCATTTAGTCAACTTGAATTACTGCAATGCACTTTACAAAGGGTTGAAGACCACTTGGAAGTTACAAGTGAACCAGAATGCAGCAGCATGCACAGAAGTAGATCTTCACTGGTTTGCCCATGTTGCACTTGTTGTGTGAATTACAGTGACTCCCACTTTTCTTCTGGGTGAAGGCATGGAGGGGAGAGGAAATTCTTCTGTCTGGAATGCTGACAGGATCTATGTTCCAAACCTGAGAGAGAGAAGGGGACAGGAGAGGATCTATGGGGCCAGCCTGAGGGAGAGAAGGGAAGAGGAGAGGATCTATGGGGAAAGCCTGAGGGACAGAAGGGGCTAGAGAGGAGAGGCTTCTGTGGGACTAGCCTGACGGAGAGAACGGGAGAGAACAGGAGAGGAGAGACCGATCGTAACTACTCATTAATTTTCAAATTGTTGATTTATCAAGCCTCATCACATAGTTTTGTAGTGAAGCATGGGTATCCAGTTAGTTAAACCAATAAGGTTAAAGAAATTTGGATAACCACATGCAGGTTTTTGTAACTATTGTTTCTGTCTAGTTTTTTTGCAATCCAGATGCCTTAGTTTTAATCTAAGCATCTGTGGTTGAATCTATTTGCTGAAGCTTGTTCAGTTACATGAAATCTTCAGTTATGCTCTCATGGCATTAGTGTAAATTGCCTTACAAAAAAGAAAAGGTTTTATTTAGACATTCATACAATGCAATAGTGGCAAATATCTATAGCTTGGGTGTAGGAGAAAGGTGAAGGTTTATTCTCCGAGCTTGTGGGTTGGTTTCCAAACATTTTGTTACCAGGCTAGGTAACTTCTTCAAAAGAGTTTAGGGGGTGTCAGTGTTCTTATGTTTATAAGGGTGTGGGTGTATCAAATTAGGGTCTTGTGATGGGTCAGCTGTGAGTCATCAGTGAATCTTGTGATGGGTCTTCTGATAAGGAGTGTCAAGTTTCGAGGTCGTCTCGAATAAAATGCATTTCAAACAAAATCTTTGAAGGAAAAACTCCTATTTATTGAGCACGACATCCTAACCTGACTCCAAACGAAGCCAACACTGACTTCCAGCCCCCAAACCCTCCCTTTCTGTTCCCCACTCTCCTGCACTCATTGGCCATCTTATTTATTTATTTATTTATTTATTTATTTATTTATTTATTTATTTATTTATTTATTTATTAATTAATTAATTATATTTCTATACCGCCTTTCTCCCGTAGGACTCAAGGCGGTGTACAGTCAAGAAAAATATAGACACACAAACATCATAAAATTGCTAATTAAAATTATTACTTAGTTTGGTCAATTAAATAAAACCCAGAATTAGATAACATTTAAAAAATCATTCACATGTTCGTATGTTTAGCCCTGCCTGTTGGAACATCAGGGTCTTGAGGGCACGGCGGAAAGCACGGAGATCAGGGATATTCCGTATCAGGGGGCAGTTCATTCCAAAGGGTTGGAGCCCCCACAGAGAAGGCCCTCCCCCTGGGAGTCGCCAGTCGACATAATTTGACTGACGGTACCCTGAGTAGTCCCTCCCTGTGAGAACGAACTGGTCGGTGGGAGGCTATTGGTGGCAAAAGACGGTCTCGTAGGTACCCAGGTCCTAAGCCATGGAGCGCTTTAAAGGTGATAACTAACACCTTGAATCGCACCCGGAAGACCACCGGGAGCCAGTGCAGCTCGCGTAGGAGAGGTGTTACATGGGCATAATGAGCGGCGCCCATAATCACCCACGCGGCTACGTTCTGGACCAGTTGGAGCCTCCGGGTGCTTTTCAAGGGGAGCCCCATGTAGAGAGCATTACAGTAGTCCATACGGGAGGTAACTAAGGCATGAGTGACCGTGCGCAAGGCGTCCCGATCCAGAAAGGGACGCAACTGGGGGATCTTCCAAGTCATTCTACCCCTAATCTACTCCAGCTCAAAGGCATTCCCCCCTCCCATCTCATCTCCTCGGAGACATTATCTCCAGGGAAAATAAGTAGGTGAAAAGTCAGCCGTCCCTTTCCAGACGCCTTCGCTTCTCCTTCTTATGTCAGCACTACAGTAAATGCAGGTTGAAGTGCTGACAAGGAGATTATATCAGGTCAGGATCATTGGGAGGTGAATTGCTGATGGGGAAGGTTGCATGAGAGTTGGTGCTGTCTCTGGCTGGTTATGGGTTGATTTGGATTCTGAGTGGTTCGTAGGCTAGTTGTATAGATCAATGTGTCTGTTGACAGAATTGTTTGTGCAGTGCCAAGCTTCGATGAATTCATGAGCGTGGCAGGTGGTAGCATGGTTGATGATTTTTGTGTTGCTCCAATCGAACTGGTGCATTTGGTGTCAGTGTGGGTAGAGATTAAGGATTTGGGATCGTGGCATTTGATTGCCAGTCGGTGTTTGTGGATCCTATTACATTGTTACAGAAGGATGAAAGAAACAATGTACTCTACAAAATCCACTGCAATTCTATGTGGGACAAATATGTCAATTAAAAACCAGGATCCATGAACATCGGCTAGCAATCAAATGCCGCAAAACCTGAATCTCTATCTACATTGACACCAAAGAGCATCAGTTTGATTGGAGCAACACAAAAATTATCGGCCATGCTACCACTCGCCATGCTCATGAGTTCATCGAAACCTGGCACTCCACAAGCAATTCCATCAACAGACACATTGACCTACAACCAGCCTATGAACCCCTCAGAATCCAAATCAACAGCTAACCAGACAGCAACGACCCTCGACCAACCTACACAACACCAGAACCTCCCAATGACCCTGACCTGATGCAATCTTGTTATCACAAGTTCCATCACTGATGACTCACAGCTGAACCATCACAAGGCCCTCACTTCACACACCTACACCTAAAGCCCTTATACACCAAAGAATACTGACAATGACATCACCTAAACACCTCTGAAGTTTTACCTAGCCTGGTAATGAAGTGTTCGGAAACCAACCCACAAGCTCGGAGGATTAACCTTCACCCTCACATTCAGACAATATTCTAGAAACAAATATAAGATCATTCTACTGTGACATACTTTCATTTAGGAACAATATTCAAGCGGCCAGTTTTCTGAGCTTTATTTTATTTTATCACAAGTAATGAATGAATTTTTCACAAATGAAACATTCTAAATAAGCTTTGACATCCAGGATAATACTGTATATTAATTCTGAAACAAAGTAAAATTCTGAAAGAAATTAAATTTCTTTAAGAGTGATATCATACAAATCTACTAGTTATTTCCTTCTTTGCAAAATATAGCTTATTATAAATAATTTAATTTTTAATGGCATACAGTCAATAGTAAAGGTTTGCTCGTAGTTGTCCTATAAATTCTGAGCTAGGCAATTTGTTCTGAGTCAGGGACAACAACTCACTTTTCAACAAGCCAGCAAAAAGTGATCTTGTTAGCAATGTTCACTGAACAAGGCGACAATCTGTATAGCTTTTTTTAAAGGTAGAATTATATGTCAAGATTGGAAATTTGAAGAAGTAAATTACCACCTTTCCCATCTTTAACCTGCAATCTAATGGCTGAAGCAGGGCAGGTGTGAAATCATTGCCTAATGATGGTACAATTCTCATGTAACAACTGCAACCAGGACCACTTGAACTGCTGTTGCTAAGTGAAGCACCATCTGATGTTTTGCTTAATGACCAATTTGTTGGGTAGTAGACATTTTAGTCCCAATTAAAACTATTAAATGAGGACTATGTGTATTGATTTTAATAACTGCTAATAACACTGTTAATAACAGAATAACTGTTCTTAAAACATAGTATTTTTCAACTGTAGTACTAAATGAACTATGTAGCATATTTAGCATTTTTTTTTATTTTTACCAAAGCTATGCAACTAAAGTTTCTAGAATACAAATTGTTAGCAAATTAGTAAAATAACAATAAACATAGATATAAATATATATCTACTTCAGCTAACATTCTGGCCTCAGAAAATCCTTTAAGCCATCATATATGGTGCACACTATTCTACAGAAATAGTTCTTTCAGTTTACTAATTTCATCTTTGGCCAGATATTCCATTTATAGTATTTATAGTAATATAGAATACAAATACTTAATATACCAGTATTTCAAATATAAATATTTATGTAATATACCTTTGCCTGGAGTGAGAGATTATGGCATAAATCTTTTATTTTCTATTTCAGAATCTACAAGAAAATAAAACAAACAAAGTTGAAGGTCAACATTTTACAAGAAATCTTAATACATGATGGCAAGTTTATGATTCTTAAGAATTCAATTTCTTAAACTGATCTTTAACAAAATTTCAGATTTTTGTGCAAGAATTGATTTCAAGAAACAATTACTATTTTACTATTAAATAAAACTGTATCAGTGTTACTATGAATTATATTTTTTATTCATTTTTACACAAAATTACTTTCTCTCTAATTTCTAGGGTAAATGTTACAGGGCTTCTTTCAAATGAAAGTTATGCAAGTAGCCCAAAATAGTAAACCAATCATCCTGAAGCATACACTGCTTTTAGCAAATGCCAAAAATTAAGCTATGACTACCAGACAGTAAACAACTTGACACTTCTACATATACATTATAATGGAACAAGCCAGATTAATACCACTGTCTTTCCTTTCCTTTCTTTTTTCTTTTCTCTCTTCTGTCTTCAATGCAATTTATGCTGCTAACCATTGATGTCAGAATGTATTGAAACTGTGCACACCAGGACTATTGTGCTGTAAATAATACCTTTCTGAAGTAGTTAAATGTTATCCTTCCAGCATAGCAATCTTTTGGTAGCTTACTTGTTCTTTGTGGGTTAGACATTTTTCTTGGCTACAGCTGTCATGTGGGAGGCTGTTTGAAAAGCTTCCAAATTAACCGAGCTCTACAGCTGAATTATATAGCATGCATTAATAGAGAGGGAATAATATTGCATATGTGCATGTAGGTTTTAGATGTTTTATGGATCCTTCAATCTTTTAAGATATTTGTTAATTTAAACACAGTTGTTCAAATATGAATCACGCTTTCAATCTTGTGTTTAATCAGTATTAAATGGAATGGGCCACCAAGTTATTGTCACAAATGAATAGCAACTTACATAAGCCTCATACTGCAGTACCTGATTGTTATCCTATTTCCGAGGCTACATTATTTAAGTATGCTTTCAACATAGAAGATATTTAACTATTAATTTATAATTTGGTACTCAAATTAATTTGTGATTTTCTATTACTTGGAAGAAAGTGAAAACTTTATCAGGCCATCCTTGTTGGGAAAGAAATAGACAAGGAACTAAGGCTGCAATAGATTGCTCTACATCAGGGGTGTCAAACTCAAGGCCCGCAGGTCGGATCCGGGGCTGCCCTGGAAACAGCAAAGGACCAGCCTGCAGTGCCTCTGCCAGCGAAAATGGAGATGGGGGGGGCAGGGTGTGGTCCTCCTGACCTCGGTTTTCGCTGGTAGAGTGTTGCAGGAGGCCGTTGCGGCTGAAAATGTAGCTCATGAGGGCTGCGTGGGCCCTCTTGAGCTCCATTTTTGCTGGCAAAGGGTTGCAGTAGGCCATTTGAGTATCCAAGAAGGGACAGGAAAGGAGAAAGGGAAAGAGGAAAGAAAAAGAAAAAGAAAAAGGAAAGATGGGAGGAGAGCAAGGAAGGAAAAAGAAGGAAAGAGGGGAAGGAAGAAGAAAGGAGAAGAAGGAAGGAAAAAGAAGAGGGAAAAGGAAGGAAGGAAGGAAGGAAGGAAGGAAGGAAGGAAGGAAGGAAGGAGGATTATAATGAGAGGGAGGGTGGGTCAATAGATCCCCCCAGCCCCGCCCAGGCCACTACAAGTGCCGCTGACATGAGTGATATTGAGCTGGTCATGTCTTCCCCAAAGTCAAACACAACCCTGATGTGGCCCTCACCCCTGAGTTTGACACCCCTGCTCTACATCATCATCCTATGCTTCTCCTAGTATCATGATTGCGAACCTGTTGCATGAGTGCCAGAGGTGGCACACAGAGCTCTCTCTGTGGGCAGGGGCGCTGTCACCAGCTGGCCTTCACAGGTGCCAGAGCGCCAGAAAATGGCCTGAAAATGGCCCGAAAAACAGCCTGAAAATGGCCAAAAATCAGGCATGCACGCGCTGGGAAGGGAAATATTGCACAACAAAGGAGAAAGAAAGGAAAGAGGAGGAGAGGGAGAGAGGAGGAGAGGGAGAGAGAGGAATGGAAGAAAGGGAAAAGGAGAGGAAGAAAGGATAGGGGACAAGAGCAGGAGAGAAGGTGAGAAAGGGGGAAAAGAGGGGAAGAGTGGGGGAGAGGAAGGGGAAGTAGGGGAGGAGAGGAGGAGGAAGAAAGTAGAAAAGGAGAAGAGGGAGGGAGGGGAAAGAAAGAAGAAGAAGGTTTGTTGTGAAAAGAGGGAAAGAAGGATAGAAGAGCAACCCCAAATGTAATTAAAATGTCTTGTTTTTATGCTTTCGTTAGAAAAAAATATGTATATATGATCAATTATGGATAAGAGAATGTACATTTACAATATGTGTATAAGAAATAAAAATAAAAAACTTTTTTTAAAAAAAACACAATCAAGAACAATTACTGATGCAAGTTAAAAAGCAGATCTTACTGAATGTACAAGAAACAAAACATGAATTCTGAAATAATGTAATAAAATCATTAACAGAATCTTAGCAAGGAAATGTATATGATCAATTTATATAAAAGGTAGAAGGGAAAGTAGATAAAGATAAAACTTGGCAATGACGTTAAACTAAAAAAAGAAATTAGCTTGATTTTGGCTGCAGAAGAGCAAGCTACGTGAACTAATGCAATCAAGATCAGGTTGGAAAAATCATCAAATGGTTCAAAGTGCAGATTGTATAAAATAACACAAGAAACAGTAGATAATATACTTCACTTGTGCAAGAAGATTGCACAAGTAGATTATAAACAATATAATGCATCAAAGTGATTCCATGGACCATCTATAAAATTTACCATGTGCCAGAAATGGAAAACAGGTGGAAACATATATGGCAGTGATGGCTAACCTTTTCCGGATCGAGTGCCCAAATCACGCCTGAACCCCCAAAATGCAATGCGTGCACTTGCCGCACCCCTGTGCATGTGCACATGCTCTTCCCCTCACACATGCGTGTGCGGCCCCCACACATGCCCCGCCACCCCTCACATGCATGGCAGAGACCCAAAGACCAGCTGGCTAGTGGGAAGCATGCACCCATGCCTGGCAGAGTTGAACTGGGGCGACAGCTCATGTGCTATCAGAGAGGACGTTGTATGCCACTTCTGGCACGCGTGCCATAGGTTCACCATCACAGATATATGGTAATTAAGAAAACAATCAAAATGAGCAAGTTAAAATATTATGAGATTTCTGAATATGAGCTTATAGACATCTTGGCATAGGACAATAATTTAACTATGGTTGAAAAAAAATGTGGATAATTGATGTGGCAATCCCAGGAAATTGAAAACTAGAAGACAAATAATTGGAGAAGATCATACAGTATCAAGATCTGAAAATCGAACTTGAAATATTATGGCATAAGTTTTTTAAATGTAGAAAATCTGTGCATTGATAAAAATTTCACTTGTCAATTATAGAAGACCACACTGCTTGCATCTGTAGATATATTATTAGGATATCCAAGGTTCTTGGGAAGAGCTCTGTATGAGGTATTTGTATGAAGGCCAACATCATTTAAAAAACTGATAACTGAGATTTCACAATGTGTGTATATAATAGTAGTAGTTTCGGAGCATCTAACAAAATTGCAATAATTCCTTCCGTCTAATTCCTTTTTCTTAGGGAAAACTGGTGATAAGGTTGTTTTTTTTTAAGCCTGAGGATTTTGTTTTTTCCAATATTACTATTAAGTCAGGCATTGTTTTTCTAATACAACCTGAAGTCAGGCAAGCCAGCTGGGTAATTTTGGGTGAGTCTGTCTCAGCCCAACCCACCTCACAGGGTTGTTGTTGTAGGTTAACAAGGATGAAGGAGTATGTTCGCTGCCTTGAATCTATATATATATGAAAGGATCTATGTATATATATACGATCCAGCATAACTCTGGAACGCCTCAAGCAATTTCAACCAAACATGGTACACAGATGACTTATCCTCTGGAAAAGAATACTGTGGGAGTTAAGACACCCCTAACACCCCTTGGTGAGTGTGTGCGTTTGTGTTTGTGTGTGTGTGTGTTCCAGCATAACTCTGGAACAGGTCACAAAATTTCAACCAAACATGGTACACAGATGACTTACTTTCTAGAAAAAAATACTGTGGGGGTAACACACCCCTAACACCCTTCGGGGTAACACACCCCTAACACCCTTCGGTGTGTGTGTGTGTGTGTGTGTGTGTGTGTGTGTGTGTGTGTGTTCTAGCTCTGGAACGTCTCAAGCAATTTCAACCAAACTTGGTACATAGATGACTTACCCTCTAGAGACAAACACTGTGGAGGTAAGACACCCCTAACACCCGTGTGTATATGTGTGTATGTGTTCCAGCATATCTCTGGAACACCTTGAGCAATTTCAGCCAAACTTGGTACACAGATGACTTACTCTCTGGAAAAAAATACACCAAGAGGGGTGGAGAGCACATGAGCAGAAGGGGGGGGGGTTTAGGATGAAAAAATACAGGGGCAGTGCTGGGTCATAAGCTAGTTACTTATAAAGTAATAAAGGTGTGATAATTTTTTTAATAATAATAATACCCAAAAGTGGGATTTAAAAAAATCTGATAGTAATAACAAAACCCCAATTGGCCGGCTTAGAAATGTTCCGATCAACTTTCAAAAATGTGCTTAGGTTATCATAAACGTCAGCTGCACGTGTTAAATCACGCACAATCGAGGAAGGGGATCTATACACACCGAGCGTGACATCAGGAAATGCTTCGACGACACTTCCTGTAAAGAAAAAATGCGAAAACCCACTCAGGCCGTCACATGGATTGACAGTTGATACGCAGAGGGGGGGGGGAATTTCCATGGCAGCGCGCGGCTATTTATTGTCAGTTACCGTTAGAGGCGGTGTCACTAATCCCGTAAGAGTACAGAATGACCATATACCAGAAAAGGACTCTTTTTACCTATTGTAACATTCATTCCTGATTCATGACCTCAACCGGTATTACCGTCACCTTTCCTCTTCACCTTTATCAGCAAATTCTCCAGTTTTCTCCGCCTCAGGGACACTTCCTCCTCCCGACAGCCTTCAGGCCGCCTGAAAGCAAAACCCCGCCTCGAAGGCCGTCGCGCATGCGCTATAGGGCCAGCCGGGTTAAGGTTGAGCCTTTCTAACCGCCGCCATCGCGCTTCGCTTGTTTTTGAGTTGCCGCCGCCGACATGCCGAAGCTGAGCAAGGAAGCTAAGCAGCGACTGCAGCATCTCTTCAAAGGTGGTCAGCTGGCCATCCGCTGGGGCTTCATCCCTGTCGTGCTTTATTTAGGTCAGTGCGGAGGGGGAAAGTCGGTCTTAAAGCGACGCCCTGCCAAAAATGACCCGCCTTCGTCTGAGCCACCTCTGTAGTCCGTGGCGGCTAAGGTGGGCCTCTGTAGTCGTTCTTGCGACACAAGGAATGGGGAGTTGAGGTCAAAAGGAACCTTTTCCCCCGATGATTGGCTGTTGTTGGTCCCTTCGAATTAAATTTGCAAGATAGGTAGTAGCCCAATCTGTTTCCTTCTAAGCAACACCCGTTGACAGAGATTTTTTAAAAGGAGAATGTCGACTTTGGGGTATGAAAGAATAGAAACTATTAAATGGTAGCAAGTCCAGTTTATTCTCTCTTTGAAATGTAATGGAAACAACCTTAAAGATCATCCAGATGATTAATAGAATTAGTCCCCAGCAAAAAAAACAGTCCTGATGCTTACACTTTATAGAATGTCTCTCTGTAAAAAGAAAATAGATCAAACAATGGAAGGATTTACAGCATATCTCTGAAGTATTGATTTTCTGTTGCCATTAATTATAGTTTGAAGTAGTATCCTGCCTTAACCAAATGTGCCATCCCAAGATCCTGTTACTGTAGAATAGGTACTTGTGGAATAGATACCTTACTTGATATAGATGCAGAGAGGGTGGCCTCTTTTGTACATCTCTCCCAATTCTGCATATTTCTGGGTTGACTTGAATTATTTTATTTTTACCATATTTGTTTTACTATATATGGAATGTCTATTGATCAAAATTGAGGTGAAATATGCAACTGGTTTATTCATAAGATTTATGTCCATGTAACCATATATAAAGGGGACACGGTGGCTCAGTGGCTAAGATGCTGAACTTGTTGATCGAAAGGTTGGCAGTTCAGCGGTTCGAATCCCTAGTGTTGCATAATGGGATGAGCTCCTGTTACTTGTCCAGCTTCTGACAACCTAGCAGTTCGAAAGCACATAAAAAATACAAGTAGAAAAATAGGAACCACCTTTGGTGGGAAGGTAACAGAGTTCCATGTGCCTTTGGTGTTTAGTTATACCGGCCACATGACCACGGAGATGTCTTTGGACAGCACTGGCTCTTTGGCTTTGAAATGGAGATGAGCATTGCCCCCTAGGGTCAGGAACGACTAGTATATATGTGCGAGGGAAGCGTTTACCTACCTTTATCCATATATATGCCACATATACATAAAATAACATTTTCTACAAAGGTTTTCATCTTGTTTAAGATCAAGGCTGTTGAGAAAGATAGCACATGGAGATAATTCTTTTCATATACAGCTCTGCCCACAATCTTTCAAGGAATTGCTCATCAGTGAAATGGAATACAATTATGAAAAACAGCTAATGGATAAACTAAAGTATGTCTTGCAGATATTCTGCAAGAAAAAAAATCATACAAATGAACTTTTGCATATTTTGAAACTACACAGTAAATTCAGAGTTTGAGCTTATTTTCTGGAAAAATAACAGAGTGGCCTCTTGGATCTCAATAGAGGTCCTAATTTCTACGATTTGTTAGAATATTTTTTCACAAGCTGTGAGTGGGTTTACATAATATGCTAAGCTATATCCTGTTGTAGTTTTGTGAAACAATAGAGCATTCAATAAACTGTGGTCTAGTGTATGAATAAATCCAGCCAAACAAAATATCTGAATAAAAGCTTTGCAAAAATATGAGTGAGACAGGAGTGGAAGATGGATGACGAATGAATGATGATAAAACAATTAAGAGTTGATTTTTCTTGCTGTTGCCCGTATATGAAACATAAGTGCGCATATGGAGTATACTATAATGGGAATTGTACTATCAGTTTGTATCCCCATTCACTGATTCACCTAGATTGTTGTTGTTAGTTGTGAAGTCGTGTCCAGCCCATCGCGACCCCATGGACAGCATTCCTCCAGGCCTTCCTGTCCTTTACCATCCTCTGGAGTCCATTTAAGCTCACGTCTACTACTTCAGTGACTCCATCCAGTCACCTCATTCTCTGTCATCCCCTTCCTCTTTTGCCCTCAATCTTACCCAGCATTAGGTGGCCAAAATATTTGAGTTTCATCTTCAGGATCTGGCCTTCTAAAGAGCAGTCAGGGTTGATCTCCTCTAGGACTGAATGGTTTGATCGCCTTGCAGTCTAAGGGACACAGGAGTCTTCTCCAGCACTATAGTTCAAAGGCCTCAATTCTTTGGCGCTCAGCCTTTCTTATGGTCCAATTTTCATAGCCATACATTGCAACTGGGAAAACCATAGCCTTGACTATATGCACTTTTGTTGGCAGGGTGATGTCTCTGCTTTTTAGTATAATGTCTAGATTTGTTATAGCTTTCCTCCCCAGGAGCAAGCATCTTTTAATTTCTTGGCTGCAGTCCCCATCTACGGTGATCTTGGAGCCCAGGAAAATAAAATCTGTCACTACCTCCATTTCTTTCCCATTTATTTGCCAGGAATTGAGAGGACCCGATGCCATGATCTTAGTTTTCTTAATGTTGAGTTTCAAGCCAACTTTTGCACTCTCCTTTTTGACTTGCATCAAGAGGCTTTTTAGTTCCTTTTCACTTTCTGCCTTTAGAGTGGTATCATCTGCATATCTGAGGTTGTTGAGTTACTAAAAAAATCAAAGTGTATTTGTGCAAGATGGTCTGCAAATGGTTATAGAACACTACCATTTGCTGTTCTAACTTAATATTCCTTTCAGTTCTAGCTACACTCCATTCTTGTTATGTGTGGTAGTTATGTTTTATGAAGTAAGAAATAGAGGATGAAAGTTGGAAGAAATAGAGGACTGAGAGCAGGGGTGAAATGAAAAAATGTTTGCTACCGGTTCTGTGGGTGTGGCTTGATAGGCGTGGCTTGGTGGTCATGTGATTGGGTGGGCGTGGTCAACTTGACGTCACTCACTGTTAGAGCCAGGAGCTGCACAATTTGAAGCACATTCTGCCCTTCTGAAGCCCCCAACGCTTTGAGTTTTCTTCTGCCATCCAAGCGAACATTGGAGCCTTCTCTTGCAGAAGCAGAATCCAGGCACAGAAATGGAAAAACGAGGGGGTGAATGGGGAGGAGAAGGTGTAATTAATAGAATCCAGATACAGAAATGGAAAAATGGGGGGGATGGGGAGGAGAAAATGTAATTAGCAGAATCCAGGTACAGAAATGGAAAATATTTTGGGGGGGGGAATGGGGACGAGAAGGTGCAAGAAAACGTTTCCTTAGATCGTTGATGCTCCCAACAATGAGTTTGGTGGCAATCTAAGGAAACGTCTTCCAGCTCTTCAAGATCGACTTTAAGCTGACAGCAAAAGTAGGGGCGGTGGGGGGACAACAGGTGTGTGTGGGTGTGTTCTTCCCTCCGCAAGGACTTGGAGGCAGACACTGCCCCTCTGAGGAAAAGAGGAGGTGGCAAAGCCCTGGCTGTCACCTGGGAGAGGAGGACCACAGATGGACACAGACACGCCCGTCACCCACGCTGCCACTACTTTTGCTGTCGGCTTCTTGGCACTCTTAAAGTCGATCTTGAAGAGTTGGAAGACGTTTCCTGAGACGCTCCAAACAATGAGTTTGCAGCGTGGAAGGCAGGCAAGCATGGCAGGGCTGCGGAGAAGGGAGTAAGCTGCTAGCTCTCTTCCCCGCAGCCCTGCCATGCTTGCCTGCTTTCCATATGGCCTTCTGCTTGCCTGCCTTCACAAGCTGGCCACGGGAAGGCCACATGAAAGGCAGGAAAGCATGGCAGGGCTGCGGGCCATGGTCCGGTTCAGGGACGTGGCCAGCCAGCAATTTCTACTGGTACAGCAAACCAGTCACAATCTCCGCTACTGGTCTTCCCGAACTGGTCCGAACCGATAGCATTTCACCCCTGACTGAGAGTATGAATGCTGAAACAAGAAGACAGAGCATTTGCTAGTTTGACCTTAGCTGGGAACATGCACACTGGGTGAATCAGATTCTTTACCACTCTGAGCATGTCTGTAAATGACTGTGAAAGCACTGCAAATATTGCTTTGGGGGTTACAAATAATATGAGGATTGATTATGGTGTACTATTAGTAAGCAATTTTCTGAGATATCCTATAGTCTTTTTGCCCTAATAAATAAACGTTCCATTTTTAATAGGAAAACTGAAATCCTATCTATATTTAGTACTTTACATGTAAATTAAGTTTATATCTGCTTCTGTGAGATAAGTGGATAATAGTGGGAATCATTAGGGATAGAAGATTAAAGCAAAAAGCACAGTGAATGAGTATTTGATCCTAAATAATTGCATAGGTAATTGTACATTTGTATAATAAATTTATAATTCATATTTAAACAATTAGATATATTCTGAGTAGCGGTTTTACAATATACTTTAAAACTATTATGTTATTGAATTGATACAGAATTATATTTAGTTGAATTTTTATCTAAAATATTAGTTTCATTCTCATTTTCATATGAATTTTTGTTGTTAATTGTTCATGAAAAACTTTTAATACTGGCTTGAGAAAAAGATAATTTGTTTTAGCACATTGCTAGAATATTCAAAGTTTTCAAATGAGAGGATAAAGCAGACAAATTTAATATTTTAATTTTGTTGGCAGTACATGTTTTTTGCAGTCTCACTAAGCAGATAGCTTAACTTGTGAGTACTTAGGACAGCTCTTTTCTGCTTCTGCTCAACAACAAATAAAATTCTATTTATTAGCAAAAATAGAATCTGTTCATGGTAATAGATATAAGGCCAAGAAACTGACTAGATATCAGAGGTCTTTTAATATTCTTCCTTCCCATATAGATATGTATTGTTAAGCATATAATAGGAGGATTCATATAACAAGTAAGCCACAATATTTGAGTTTGGTCACTTGTTAAATGCAGTATGTGAACCTAATCTATGGAAGATGGGAAAGATACAAGATAGTAATGCATTCAATATAATATGTGGTTAATTAATTAACCAACAAATGTATTTTATATTATGTAAAGAAGGCCAATAATATTTTCATAAAGTTCACAATTTTTTTATTATAAATAGGTTTTAAGAGAGGCGCAGATCCTGGAATGCCTGAGCCAACTCTTTTGAGGTATGTGCTTATGTTTAAACTACCTCCAAAGTACTGTAGGCTGCAACATATATTACCCGTGGTTTATTTTATGAAGTTCTGTTATGTTCTGTTAGTGTAAAATTCTATAAAGTTTTATTAACTTCACATTATGTAAAATTCTGTCTTGGCACCTGCCCTTAGGAATGAGATGCCCCTGAAATCTCAGGGATTCCCATCCTAATGGCATTCTGGAGAGCATTAAAGATCTGATCTTCCTGCCAGGCTATTGTTAGGATAACTGAAGCCCCTTATCCATTATGTGATAAGTCTTTCTGTATTGTTGGCCAGATTAACCATCTTGATCATTTAGAGAATAATTTTATTTTGTCTTTTTAGTGGCTGTTCTTATATTAAAGCTACTCAGAGCCAATTTGGAATCAGTAACATCTACATTGGATAAATAAAATAAAAATAAATAAACTTAAAACTCTATACTCCTAGCAGACATAAAACAAATAATCTGCAAACTATTAGTTAACTTCACTGGTAAAAACTATGCTGATTAAAAATTACTGATTTTAAAGAAAATAATTTGTGATTATTAATCCTATGTTATGATTTATTTTAAATGCTAGATTATAGAATTTCAGAAAAAGTATTTGATAACACTACTTCTATACTTATGATAGAAAGCATTACATTGTAAAGCTACTAATGTGAGTTGCATTTTCACCAGTACATAAAAGAATATTCACCTTTGGAATTATAAAAGTTATCCAAAGTCATTAAAACTTTTTATCAATTTTTATTATTATAAAAACAATTTGCAATTTAGTATGGCTTATGGTCTAATTAATGTTTAAAGCTACTGTAATTAAGTCACATTTTATTTATTTATCTATTTAAAATAAATTTTCACATGCTAGTCTATTCGGTTTTATATTTCGTCATATGCCTATATTTTAAATATGCTGCATATAATCTGTTAAATTTGAAATGACTGTTTCTATAGAACATTAATCTTACCTCAAATTTAAATGATTTAACAGAAATGTAGTTTTTTTCTCTTTAAATTATCAATGACCAAATTGAGTCCTTAATTCAGAAAATGCTTCATTTAAATTAATACTAACATGCTCATAATTGATTTCTTTTTAGATCTTAGAATAATTTGTGTAAATTGAGTTATTTTTAAATTGTGTACAGAAGTATGACATCAGCATGTTTAAAGTATATTTGGCTTTCACTTTAAAAAATAATGGTTATCATAAATTTTTTCTTGTTTAATTATGTCCAATTATTCGAGACTGCCAAGACAAACCTCTGCAGTTTTCTTGTTGAAGTTCTTCAGAAGTGGTTCCTAGAGTTGAGAGAAAGTGACTTCCTTTCAGAAACTTATACAATAGGTCATCATTCATCCAGTCAATTAAAATGTAGATCAGTAAAAAAAAAAGTTTAAAAGGTGCAGTTAAAAACAAGGCATTTTTAAATAAACAAACAGCTGAGAGGAAAACATGGAAGACCCAACCCTCCAATCGCTTCTACCTTGAATTGTGATCTTCAAAATCTCTCTTCTTGAAGATCATCTAAGGGTTGTATTGGGTCATTCCTAATTGCTCCCATTCAAATCTGGGGTGTGAGCAGCCAAATAGCCAGCTTTGGCGGCATAATCAAGTGTTTGTCGGCAGAAAAAAAGAGATTGCCTGCTACTTAGTACACAATCTTGGGGAAGTCTATGCTCACTGTCAAGAGTAATAAAGGTTTGATAATGTATATTCCCACCATTTTGAAACAAAATCAATTCTGTGGAAGTTACTTAGAAATCATATTATGCTTCAGTAATTAAGTTGCTGGACGTGGTATTTACATATTGTAGCTGTTTCAATCTCAACTGACCAAATTTATTCTTTTTTTCCCTTCTCCTAGTCTACTTTGGGGTTGAAGGAATTAATCAATGTATTTTGAGAATATGCTTTTGAAGATGGATACATTCCGGAGACTAGAAGGACACTTATGCAATGTTACTGTCCAACTGTTTATCTGATAACATGTAAATGACATTTTTGTCAGTGTAATGTATTTATCACACTTTGTTATTTTTATTGGAATAAATATTTAGATTTTAAAAATTATATTGAGGCAATCTAGTGTTTTTTTTACAGAATATAACATGCTGTGTCTCTTTTATCTGTGTTTCAAGATGGATAGGTTTATTTATTTAATCAACTATTACATTCGCTGATGAATTTGATTGAGTCTTGCCTTAATTAGAATCTGAAGTGTTAATTTTTTTCTTAACATGAATTGAGCAAGATCTTATTTTTAATACCTGAGGGAAAATAATGCAATATATTATACTTTACATCTGTGCTTCCGAAACTTTAGTAAATTACCCCAAATTGGATAAAAGTGTTTTTTCTTTAGGTAATACAGAAACCAATTACCTAATCATAACAGGGACATTTAAATTGACTTAAAGTATTTTACCTATATTAAAAAGAAATTTCTGATGAGCTTTACTGGGTAATAAAGTTTGGGAAGCGCTACTTTAAACTAATATATTTTGATTTTGGTAATGTTAACAAGTTCACTGAACTCATTTGAGAACTCTAACAGAATCCTTGGCAAAATTATTAACTGTTTAAAAGGTCAAAAGAAAAAATTGATTTTCTGGAATGTTGGAAGATATGGCATAAGTCTAAAAAATTAAATAGCAAGAAAAGCTATTTTTTTCTGATCTTTCTGTCTGTGTAGCATTAGTGCAGGCCAAGCCTGAACAATTTAATGGAGAGGGCCACCCTGATAAATTAAAAATAATGGCAGGTCACAAAGAAATATCTAGCGCGATGATCTCTACATTTGGTGCCTAGTGAGGATGCAGTAACCAGTATTGGAGTTGACAGCAGACAAGAAGCCCAAAGTCCAGAAACTTTCTACATGGCTAAAGTTTCTTACAGACTATACAAAATTGGATAGGATAGCTGTTATTCAAGAGATAGAAATATTTGTAGTGAATGTGAAGAGCTGGTAGAAATTGGCTAAAAATAACAAAATCTTAAGCCAGATAAGTGGATGGTAGTTGGTTATGAGCCAGAAATGTGGCTGCAAGAAAGGGTAATTTTATTCTGCATTAATAGAAATATAATTATTGGTTGCAAGAAATAATTATTCCACTTTATTTTGTATTGGACAGAATAGTCTTATGTTCAGTACTGAGCACTACATCCTGAGGCAGATTTAGTCTTGGAACATGTTCCGTGAATGGTAATGGAGCAGGGGACTAGAAATTAAAATCTATGAAAAAAGATTATGAGAAAGGATGGTAGGATGACGGGATATAATAGCAGTCTTTAAATATTTGAAAGGATGTCATATAGGAAAAGATCAGGACTAGTTTTTTCCCTTCTAAAATACAGTATATGGGATAATGGATTTAAATTATAGGAAGGTAGATTCTGATAGAATGTTATAAGACAAAAAAATGCAATTTCAAAGTGGAAACAATTATCAAGACAGATAATTTGTTGCTATCAATCAATTCTGTTGTTCTATGAAAACTGAAATATCTATTTAAATAGTTCCAGGGTGGTTGAATGAAAACAGGAACGGCAAAAAACTATTTATCCTAGATTGTTGGTAACTACAAGGTTTCCCTTTGAATGTCATTTGTGGATGACAATGTTGAATAAAGGACTTAATATTTAGAATTTCAAGGTAGAAATGGTATAAATCTACAATGTACAGTAGTTGCAGTGCATGGATATGAAGTTTGCTTCCATTATAAACTCGCAGGATTTTTTTCTTTAAAAAAATACTTTAATATATTAAATTTTCATAACAATATAATTATACATTATTTAGTAAAGTTAAATTAAGTTGAAGTAAAATTATTAAAATATGTAATAAATATATTAAATACCATAAATATCAATATTATAAATAAGTATATATCTAAAAAATAAATTCTCTCAGGAGAACAAACATGACATCTGTTTCAGATGTGGATATTCGATATGCCGAATTGAAAGCATTCAGGCATTACAGTTAACTCATAGAAGGCGAATAACTCTTGAAGTGGTCTCCATAAATAAAGTAAAATCTTGAAGAATAAAGTGCTTGATCACTATCATATTCCAAGCTCTCTGTTCTCTTAACTTTGCAGCAAGAGTTTTCTGAGTGTCAGGAGATGGCATGCTCACAGTCTCAGGATTGTTCATCTGTTAAAGGGAGGGAAGAAACAAAAGATTTCTTTTTCAGCCTGACTAGGTGGCTCAGTGGTTAAGACACTGAGCTTGTCAAATCAGAAAGGTTGGCAGTTCGGCAGTTCGAGTTCCTAGTATAGGTCTCCTGTCTGAACAGGGGGCTGGACTAGATGACCTCCAAGGTCCCTTCCAACTCCATTACTGTTACTGTTTTTGTGTGGGCAAGAATGTTTTACACATTTAATCTATATATTACACTTGTTACAGGCAAGAAATTTCATTTTGGTTTTTGGTAATTGTATTTTATCTACATTTATGTTAATTGAGATATACTCACTATATTCTTTAGTAAAAAAAGAAAAAAAACCAATTAATGCCACAATGCCATTAGGACACCAAGCTAGAAAGGGGAGATTGTGAGTTCAAGTCCTGCTTTAGCTATGAAAACCAGCTGGATGACTTTGTGCCAGTCATTTTCAGCCCAACTCACGTCACAGGGTGTTATGGGGAAAATAGGAAGAGCAAGGTTGAGTATGTTCACTGGCTCGTCTTATTTGTAAAAATAATAAAGGTGGGATACAAATAAATAATAATAAATTAATCTGTATTGTAACCAATGTAGCAGTTATGCCCATTGTCATGATTAGGCCAGCATTCCTATGGCAGCCATTTTGAGAGTGGTAAAAATCTACAATCCAAATTTGCCCATTAGAGATTTAGTTAATTATTACAGCAACCATACAAAGCAGAAATTACCAATGGATTTAATAAATCATTAATTAAAAATATCCATAACTTTCTATAGTCTGATAACATGCATGTTGATCAAAGTGATATATATTTTTCCAGAATTTAATATTTGTATATTAGACAATAACATTTCCATTCCAGGCATTAAGAATGAACTGAAGAAATGTGGCCCTGCTGGTTGTGCCAGACATTTTTTAGTTTCAATATCCTAACATCACCAGTTGAGGTGAGACACAGATGCACCATTTATGATTGCTAAGGAGCTCCTGTATACTTATTGATGCCATCAGAACGTTGAGGATTGAATTTCAATAAATCACTTTAATAAATCAATAAAAATACAGCTATTACTATTATATACCAGAACAAGTATGTAAGGTCAAATGTAAATATTGCTTACCATTGACTTCAAGGTTTCTGCCAGATTCTGTGCGCCTATTGATACAGAAACACTTCTTTGTGTAGTTTCTTCTATATATTCCAAGAATGTTCTGAATGCATAGAGGCCACTTGAAAGTTTTCTTAGACAACTTTCCTAAATGAATGAAAACAAAAGTTATTGTTTTCAAAAGATCATTAAATATTGTATAGTACATTCAATTATATCTAAATGTAATTAACTACATATTAAATGAATAAATAATAATATCTCCAAGCTGAGGAGAGGAAGAAATTAGGTCTTGGAGAAACAGATCCATAGGCATCCTCTTAAACTGTGAATAGATAAGGTTGCTGTGGATCCCCAGGATTCAAAGCCCTCTCTCTCCCACAAACATGGATCTGTAACAGTTGGTGTATCAACTTTCATATATAATTTATTTTTGTTACTTTCATGTCTCTGTTATTCTGGTTGCTGGATGAGACAGTTGTTTGAAGTATTTATGAGAGGTTTGCTCTGCTTCCGTACAAAATGTTTAAAAAGATATTACAAAAAGCATAAACTTTTCCAGTGTATATTGATATTCTACTTGCCTTTTGGAATCCAGGCTGGTAGCATCCATCTTCTTTAATTATCTTTGGAAGGTTGAGATTATTTTGTGCCATAATTTCCATTGTACCTTTACATGCATTTTGCTCCTTGCACAGCTGGTAAAACATAAAGATATAATTGATTGCAGGTGATCCACTATAGTTTTATATGACTTTCTGACTCTATCAGTCTATATTAATCTCAAATAAAACTGTTTTGGAACAATAATTCCTAGAATCCCCAGCCATGGTAACTAGGAAATGTAACAATGGTAAACCTTGCCCATCTGGAGGTCTGATGGTAGTGCATCTAGTAAAGTAACATGTAACATTACATTTCGCAATGTTTAGCAGCAGGCAGAAATCTGGAAATTCTACCTACCTTACTTTCCAGCAGTAAGGTTTAAAATTTGAAATGGTTTGCCATTTGCTAATGGTTGTGCTAAATTTTAAACCTCACATAACTGATTATTTAAAAGTTTACTTTCTCCATTTTTCTTGTAAGAAAAAAGATGGTCTTTAGACCATGCAAATATGTTCTGCAATGGGGGGGGAAAAAACCCTTAGAGATTATGTGCTGTTGCAAATAAATAGCCAGCACTGATTGTGGGAAGAGATGAAAAACCCAATCACCACATCACCTATTTTGAATTTAAAATTGATTGCTCTATATCCTTATTGAAAATGCTTCTGTTATTTTGCCCATACTACAAATGTTAAGAGCTTGAAAAACTAATGGTATATTCAGAAAACATTAAGCTATTTCTTGTAGACCTGGAACAGCTGTTTTGTGCTCAGAATGAGGCATTTCTGGCTGGAATAATTCCAGATTAGAGAAAAGAGTACAAATCCTCATCTACACAATGATAGTTTGCATCACAAATATGTGTATAGGCTATATTGTTCACAAATTGTAATTTGACATTCAGTAGGAATGTTATATCTATAGCAGTGTGATGGGTATCTTCCTTTTCACAAATATATGGAAATAATTTCAGCTGATTGGAACTATTCTAGTATACAGTCAACTGTTCAAAATATATTTTCTCTGAGCCACTGAAATCCTGACTGAAAAAGACTAAAGCAGTCTATAAGGAATTTGCTTAATTCACAAGCAAATACTACCCAAATAAAGAATGGGTAGTAATTTAGAAGTGCTATGAAAAACAATCATGCCTTTAAAAATGAAAGTGAAAACATACACACTTGACAAGTGAACAATGCAGAAGGTAACTTCCTCTTGAATTCCTCTCCCATAAAATTCCCAGAATTGTCTTTGCTTACTTGAATGTTAAAACTAATGTTTATTCAATTTTATTTTTAATTAGGAAAAAAAGGTTACAACCCTTTCTTTATATGGGCAAACTGGACAATCTTGTAATGACTGCACTGCTGTATATCTAACAATCCAGCAAATGAAAAAGTGCATAATTTTTGCTTTCAGAAAGGACTGTTTGTTTTGTGCAGCTAAAATAGCAAAGGATTTTGAATCACTTGAAAAACTAACCAAACTTGTTTATATTATTATCCACTGGCTCAGATTCATACATCTGAGGAAGTAATCCATGAAATCTGTCCTGAAATGCTGTCCTAGGTAATTCTTTGACAGCTTCTTTGACAAAGATCAGACTCTAATTGGCAAGCCACACGAGTACAAACCCCATCCCGCGCACCAGCAAGCTTCATACCTCAAGGCTCGAAGTCATCTAAGCACGGGAATCAAAACGACTCCCGGCCCTTCCAACAAAAGGTGTAACCAGACACCCGCTCCAAGAAACGGAGCATCCTCCTAAGTCGAGGCAGACCTTCCCTTGTTAAAAGTCACAAGAGCTCAGATCAGAAGAAGGGCCACGCTCCTTTTTCGAAGACCAACTTTTAGACTTCCTTACTGTGCCTTCGAACTCACCTCTTGATTCCACGTCGCCGCAGTACCTTGTAGCCAAAGAGCCAACTCTGTCGGAACGTTCAGCTGGACCCCGGCTGCCGAAGTTCTGGAGGAGGGATCCTCGCCAAATTCCTCTTCTCCGGAGGAATCTCCGATAGGGAAAGCGTGGGCTCCAAAGAGCAGCAGGAGAGCAGCAGCAGCCCAGGAACAGCCTGATGAAAGAGACAGAAAAGAGGAAATGCAGTGAGCAGGTCTTTTTCGGCCAAGTTATAGACGCTCCCTTGTCCAATTTGTTTTAAACTTACATCCCGATAGTGCAAGCATAGTCTTCTTTAAAATTTAGATCTTTTTTCTTTTTCTTTTTGAAATATGCAAGAAGTTTTGTAGTCTGCGTGGCTGAAGGGCTGAATGAGTGGTGCCACATTTCGAACCTACTGTATTTATTGAAAGGCTCTGGGAAAATCCATTATTAGTTAACGTAGAGAATTTTTTTTTTAGTTTTTTTTAAATACTAAATCGCAGAGGGAGTTTCTTTTAAAGAGACTTAAGAGTACTTCGTTGTTTAAAGTAGCTGATGATTTTACATGGGACAGATAAGAATAATGACAGGATTTCCCTCCTCCCCCCAGTAAAATATAATTAAAAACCAAGAAGATATTTCTATAATGAATACAGTTTGTTTAGTTTCATGAACCCAGACAATTGTGATTTATACTTGAATTAAAAAAAACCAACTTCATGAGTGAATAGAATCTTTCGCTAAGTCAGAGTTGGCTTTAAGATTGGTGTTAATGGGGCAGGGAAAAGGTTTAGCCTTGTGATTCAATGAATTGTACAGGAGTGTCTTGAATTTCTCTGTTCAGTGAGTGGCTGGCATTAATTACTTTAGTTTAAAAATTGTTTTGCAATTGAAAATATTAAATTATGAACAAAATCTCTCTAAATATTGAGCGCCCTGTCCCATTTAAGTCTGCACATCACACTAAATGATACTATAAAGTAACTTATTTGGTTTGGCTTAGCACAGAGATGTCAAACTCATGTTGTCATGACATTGGCAATAGATGTATCATGACTTTTCCCCACTTTGCTAAACCGGGTGTGGGCATGGCCAGTGCGTGATACATCCAGCCTGCGGGCTGTGAGTTTGACAACCCTGGCTTAGCATCTTATATGGATCCATCCAGATCATTTGTGGATTGCAAATTATAGTATATGAATTTGCATTATGTGTCAATCAGGCTTTTTTAATGAACTGTAGTCAGTTTATCATTCAGCCCAATCTACACTTGTAACAATAACAATAGTTCATGGATAAAGTGCTGTATTTTGTTTTTGATATTCATTTCAACCTATTTATTATTGTGGGGTTTTTTTCTTTTTTAATGTTGTATGCCACCTAGAATCTTTTGGGATTAGTGTAGGTTATAACTACAATAAAATAAAATAAAATTCATCATCCATTATTTTGAAATCATGACACTCATTATTATCATTCCAACTTTTGACTCTTTTCTATATTTAAAATTTGACTCCAGCTGAAATGGATTTAAGATGATTCAGCTGACTTGATTAATGAATTGATCATTTTGCCTATCTGTTCCATTCCAAAATACAAATCTTTGATGATACATTTTGGACCATAGTGGAACAGAGAATATATTCACATATTTTAGCACATTCTCAAGCATGAGTTAAGCTTTGCTTCCACTTTTTGAAAGAATCCTAATGTAAATTGTCCAGTGATTCAAATCTGCCAGCAGACAGAATCAGCCCTGGCTAGTATTTTTGGATGGGGGACTGCAAGAAACAAAACTATTTAGACTAGGAAGATCCCAGAAAAATACAATGATAAACCAGTATAAAAGTCCATTGAGTTCAGCTTCAATCTTGGTTTGAACCTATGTAGTTTTCTTGGCAATAGTATTTCAGTGGTTTCCCTTCTCCCTCCTCCCCCCAGGATCTTCCCAGTCTAACTGGATTTTTTTTGGCAGTCCCCCATCCAAAAACTAGCCAGATCTGATTCTGCTTAACTTTGAAAAATTATATAACATTGGCTAGTTACCCTCTCAGAATAGAAGTCTTGAAATTTTGATTACTTTTGAAATCTTTTAGATCAAATTCTTATATGCTTGGTGCAATAATCTACAAAATGTTAAAGTAATTGAACAGAAACCTGCACAAAGAGCCTCCTGAAGGGAAATATTATGCCAGGGTCAGATGCAAGTGGATGGCAAAAGCTTCCAGTCATAAATATTGCACTATTTTGGATTTCTATCTGTGTAAAAGGTCAGATTGACCTGTGTATTGGATGCTACCAGCCATGCAAGGAGGAGGGCGGATCAGGTTGGGAGTTAGCTTTGAGTGATGGCCCAGTTGCAAGAGGCCTATGACTGACTCCCACTTAAGTTCCATGGAACTTTATCTGTTCCCAAAGGAAGGCAAATAGTCTAGGGGGTTTCTTCTATTATAGAAAACAATAGAATAGGTAGAAAACAATAAAATGGTCAACTTGAATCTTTCATGTGTGGATCTGGTTACTTACGTCTGACTGTTTTTGTGTCCTTGAGTCATTGTGACTCCTGGTGACTGCCTGGACAAATCTCTGCAGATTTTTTGGGTAGGATTTCAGAAGTGGTTTTGCCATTACCTTCTTCCTAAGATTGAGGGAGAGAGACTGGCTCAAGGTCCCTAGTTGGTGGGGATTAGAACTTAGTTTTCTGATTTCTAGTCTGACGCCTTAACTGTTACACCAAATTTGCTCTTCAGATTGCCCTACTTTGTTCAAATGTAAAAAGCTACTCTTCCTCTAAAAAATCTTGCTGTGAGAGATAGAGAGACTCAAGCTTTCATAATCAATTACAACTTTTGCAGTGGCTGTGGTAGAATTACTGGTTGAAAAAGAGGGGGTCCCTCTAGGGGGAGTAAAGAGACATTTCAGCTTAGAGTTGGTTAAGGGGAGGAAACACCTGAAATCAAACCCTTAGGTCTATATCTGTCATTTCCCAAGGGAAGGCAAACAGTCTGGGATGATTCTTGTAATATAGGTGATCAGCAATAAAATATCTACTTGGACCTATTCTACAATGCTGTTATAAAGTAGTTGTTTGGCAGTCAACAATTGCCAGTCAGTCCTGTTCACACTTGCGTACTATCCAGAGTATATCACTGGGGGGCAGATTAGTTCCATAGTATGAGGGCATTCTGCATCATCATCTGGGGCTTTCCCCACCACCAATGACATGTCACATTTGGGCAGATTCAACACTAGTTGAATTTATACTGCCTTTCAAAGTGCTGTTTTCCCCCACTGAAGTGGTACCTATTTATCTATTTGCATGTAACATGCTTTCAAACTGCTAGGATGGCAGAAACTGAGGCAAATGACAGGAGCTCACTCCATCATGCAATGCTAGGATTTGAACCACTGGAGCAAAGACCATCTCCAGTTTCTTTAAGTCACTGAGCACCTAGCCTTGTGGAAGTGTTTGCTTATGCCTGACAATGGCTGTTCATAAAATATGCAAAGCCATGTCATTCTGGAAAGGATTAATGAGTATTTACATACTGTCATCTTATCATTATATCATGTAGAGCTCATTTACTTGAAAATTATCATATATAGAAGATGCTTTGCTGCAGCCTACATAATGGACTAAGATAGTTTTCCTCAACATGATCACATTCCAGTTGTGTGTATTCCAATTCCAGAGGCTCAACAAGGAATATGTTGGCTGGAAGTCCACACATCTCAGGGGCACCATATTTGAGGAAGTTGCCCTAGGGCATTATTTATTTTAACCATCACTTATTGAACAAGCCTTAAAACTTAGTTCATACATTCCAAATTACAGTAGAATCATAGTTCAGTACTGGAAAAAAAGTCATGACCACATGTTTTAATGTGATATAGCAATTTGTTAATCAAATTTCACTCACAATTGATTCTTTCTGTATGAATTTAGTATAAACTAACTGATATAAAAAAAACCTTTCAGTGTCTAACATACATAATATTAAACTATACCCAGATTTTTGGATATATTGCTTTTTAATTTAATAGAACTGATATCTTAATTGGCTTATGAAAACCTCCTGAAACACATCCTTTTAATCAGGTTTTAACTGTTGTTTTAACTGTTATTTATTGCTTATTTTAATAGAGTGATTTTAAATTTATTTATTGTGAACTACCAAGAAAGTTAGTAGGTGATGTTATGATGTGTTTAATATATTTAGTATAAAAAATAATATGATGGTCGGATGTCATAAAACTTTAAAAGGCATAATATATCTTATTTTGTTTTATTATTTTGTTTTATTTTTCCTTTGTAGTTAATATTTTTAACTTTTATTAACCACCCTGCATCATCTCCTTGGTGAATGATTATATAAATTGAATGAAGATACAAATAATGCAGTATATTTGACTTTGATTGAGTTGCTGTGGTTGGTTAACCATGATTTATAATTTTAGTGTGTTATATATATTCAACGATAGGAACCTCCAACATTGCAGAGAGACACTTTAGGTAGATTTGGTCTTGGAGAATCTCTGCCAATAAAAATCCATCATCAGAGACATTTTGTGGGGTTTCATGGAATTAGGATAACCTATTCTTCCTGGCCATAGTACAAATAGTCCTGACTTGGATCCTTAGAGTGGACACATATGGAGAGAGCTGGCATGTTATATTCAAATAGCCAGTGTTGCCCATTTTGCTTGTACCTACAATAATGCCTGAAAATATAATTGTTCAGTATATTTAATGTCTATTATACAAAATGGGCAACACTGGCTATTTGAATATGACATTCATATATTTTTAATGTGTTGTTTAAAGCAATCTGCCTTAATTTGGTATCCTTCAGATATCCTACATATCTGTAAAGGAGAAAATTAGAGAAAGCTGTTACAAAACCATTTTTATAGAAGGTACAATTGCAGGTGAAATAAGATTATATGAAATGAGATACTTCTACATTTTCAATGTTGTATTTCATTCCTAATCTCTCAAAAGCAGTTTTAAAATGACCTTCAACACCAAGCTAAAAATACTGAAAAATGAGTGGAAACCATTGTCGTGGACTCAGCCTCTGATTTACAATTTAAATCTCATCCTTTCTCCATGCAAAAACCCTCTTGACCTGAGTTCCTCAGGGAGGTATGTGAAATTGTCAAGCCTGTATTTTTTTATGGGAGTTGCTATAAGGCCCAAAGCTCAAGAATTGGGAGGAAGTAGACTTTTCTTCTAATGGTGGGAGGAATTCTTTAGAACTCCAACATTTCCAAATAAAGCCAGCCTTGGAATAGTTCTTCCTGCACTGCCCCTCAGCCAGAAATAAATTGGCTCTGCTGCCAGACACAGTAATAATAATATTTTGTTAATTGTAAGTCCATGACCCAAACTGATCATGCATATCAACTTTGTTGATTAAAGACAGGGTTGCAAGCCTAATTCCAATCTTTGGTGCATCTTCTGACCTTGGACTCATATAGCAGCTGAACTCTCTATCTTCATTTTAGTCTTTCTGATGTAACAAAATAGGAGTTTTGCTTTTATTGCATGAAACATACTTGGTTCCCCTCTCTAGTCCCTCAGTAGAAGAAGAATGGAAATTTGTAAAATGCCCTTTTTCTTCCCCTTTTACTTTCATTTGATTAGATATCTAGTAGATGCTTTACAGCAATATACTACCAGTATGCAAATAAATCACACATACAATGACTTAATGGGGAACTCTCTGGAGGAACTGCAAGGATTTGCTGCATATTGAATTAACTGAATTAGAGTTAATTTGTATTTTTATCCCCCAAGATGGCAAAACCCTTGAATAATAATACCAAAGCTCTTGAAAGAAAGCTCATGAAAGTTGGATTATAATCAGTGTTGGAATCTTTTTTGCCTCTGTCCTAAACAACACATTTAAAGAACCTGCCCATGCCTACCTTGAAGTTTCATAAAGGAAAGAAATCCACTGATCCAGGGTTGTGTGTAGGTATTAGTTGTGTGAATGCTGTTTTATCCAGAATTGGTTCAAGTCGTGTAATGGCAATTTAAAGAAAAAGAACAAAAGTTCCTCAATGATACCAGGTCTTTTATTATGCATGTCATTCTGGTTTTTTTTAAAAAGAACTTCTTTGCAGTCTTTATTTGGGTTTCTAATTAAATACTTCAGTGGTTTTAATCTATATTGGAGTATATTGTAATACTGAACTGCCAGGATAGGTGAGATCAACATGTGCTATGAGATCATAATTAGCCATCAATTTAATGATTAAAATCATATTTAAAACATTATTTTAATTTTAGTAAATTAAACAAATATTTTTGAATTTCTGTAGACATCTAAGGAGTCAGGCACTAGCCCCATCATAGACTTCCTTCTTTTGCTATTGTATTTATTTCTGATATTGCCATGTTTTCTTTAAGAAATATGCCTGAAATTTGTTGGTTGCATCAATGCTTAGCCTAAAATAGATTGTCAGCAATTTTTAGGAGGAAGTTTCCACAGGTTTTTTTCTTTGCGATAACATTCCAAAAAAGGTTTTCCCCAGCAGAACTAGTGACCTATTTTTTTCAAAAAAACTATTATTAACACATCTAATTTTTGCCAAGTTTGTATTAATTAAAAGGAACAACAACAAAACAAGTATCAATTTTAGTATACTTCAAATACTGTCATTCTATATGAACTCAATTAAAAACATCTGGAGTTTAAATGAAGTGAAAAAGACTTGTGTGAACTATACAACTGCAGTTAAAACAAAATTGATTAATTTACCTGAAATTCTTTTCCTTGTTTGAAATAAAATCAATTCAGTCTTCGAGGGAAGAAAAGCAATCATTTGCTTCAGATCTTTAAAAATGGCTTCAGAAGAAATATTTTGGGATGCCCAATTTATCTCCTTCAACACACCAAGGATTTATAAAGTTTTCATCAATTAGGATCATTCATAACATAAATATGTAAGAAATTCTAGAGATAATATTTACCAGGACTGGCCTTATGTGAAAGCACACAGAATCCCTACCATTTTTCATCATTGACACAAACAGAAAGAGATATTTAACAGTTCACTAGACTAAATTATATTAAAAGGTACATTCATAAAACATAAAGTTAGGTTGAAAATAGCAACACTGGGGGAAGAAAATCACACACATAGGTATAAGTCAGGAGATTCCGCTGTTTCACACCATGTGATAAGCTGCCCAGGACTCATAAATCTGACTACAAAAAAATGCTAAAACTTTCATAAATCACATTGTTTCCAAGTTGTGAAGGCTTTACTTATTGCACCTGGGGCACTAACCCCTAAGGAGAACATAGGTAGGGTCAGGGAAGGTCAACAAATCAGGACGTGAGAATAAAAACAGGTCTTATGGGGAAATACTGAAAATACTAGTAGGCTTAGCCTATAGACAAAAAGATGGCATTCTTTGCATATTTGAACAGCTATAACACAAAACACCACAAAGTCTTGATTGCTTCTGTTTTGACTTGTATGAATACCATATGTGTATGAGTATCCCTATATATGCTTTAGTTAGAGAAGATAGTTTTTGACT